GTAGGGCTATGCTGCTATCAAGATATGGGAAAGCTGCTGTTTTACTGGCTCAATCTCCATTCTTATACTGGATGTAGCTATCTATAAGAGGCAAGGGAATCACAGCCAATGGCAAGGTTCAGTGTGACTAGTCAGACTCATCCATTAGGAAGTATATCACAATAAGTGCATGGGATTTCAGGGCCACTGTTGCCACTGCAAGTCGACATGTTTCTCTTCAAATGCCTAACTATTTGACTGAATATACAGAATCGATACCACTGATCCCCGTGTGGGGTCCCAGGTCCCATTGAAAAAAAAAAAAAAAAGGATGGACCCACTGCCTCCCTAAAAAGCAGGCTGTAGAAGGTGACTTTTTCCATGATGCTGAAGTGCATTTGCCCGAAGGGCAAGGAACCAGCAGTCTGCGTACAGGTAAACCAGCTCTGTAAAATGGATGTGTACACAAAAACTTCAGTTCTGGAGCAAGACCAAAGTGGATGAAGAAGCAGACCTTTCCGCTGGAGTTAACAGCTACTGAATGTTAAGATGAGGAATTTCCGCTGGAGTTAACAGCTACTGAATGTTAAGAAGATGAGGAATTTCCGCTGGAGTTAACAGCTACTGAATGTTAAGAAGATGAGGAATTTCCGCTGGAGTTAACAGCTACTGAATGTTAAGAAGATGAGGAATTTCCGCTGGAGTTAACAGCTACTGAATGTTAAGAAGATGAGGAATTTCCGCTGGAGTTAACAGCTACTGAATGTTAAGAAGATGAGGAATTTCCGCTGGAGTTAACAGCTACTGAATGTTAAGAAGATGAGGAATACTAGTGAAGCTAACTGAACTTACTGAAGACAACAGAAAAGAAGTTATCATTATCATGTGCCATGACGTTGAGCTATGCGTTCATGATACACCATCTCACTTGATCTCCAGAATCACAAATCAGGTCAGTGCTCTTGCCTTGTCCTAACAATATTGCCAAGATATCAATCTCTGCCTTCTGACTGCTCTTTTTCTGTCAGTCTTACCAGATGTCACCATATTGTCGCGTTTGTTCCTTCCTATAACATGTCAAAAAAACTGACTTTACATTTAATGTTTTAAACCAATTTGTGTGTTTAATATGTCTCTTGAGAAGAATGAAAAAATTGGCAAATTAATCAAATGGAAGAAGTTCAAATCTTCTAGTTTACTTACTTGATAAATAATTTTTTCGACGATCGACGGAGAATCTCCGTGACGGGCTGCCAGGCATGTCACTATCTTCGGGACGACCGGAGTTCATGCCAGAATTTTCTGCATGTGGCTTGTCTGTTGTTTCAAAATACATGAAGTTAAGAGAAATGAACACCACATGTCACAAAAAACACATGTATGATTTTTTTGTTTTGTTTTATCTGTCCAGGGTACAATTTTTAACTAGTAGGACAACTGTCCAACAATTTATTAGTAGTCATTAATTTTCTGAATATAGGATGAACACTCACCAACAACATGGACCACATTGACTTCAATTGCCTTCTTGGCATATACAGCCAAAAGTTGATTAAACTGGTCTTGTACAAGTCTTAGTTTGTGTTCCTTTATCTCCAAGAAGTCTAGCTTGATTTGTTCAAAAATCTGGCCGGCAAGTTCAGCCTAACAGAGAGAAAAGAAAAAAATATTCAGTAACTATGACAAGCATAAATGAGAGCTCTACATGGCTAAGTGGTTAAGCTATTTGCCTGAACTCCTGAAGGGCAGGGTGCATTTTACAGATCATCATGTGTTTGATCAGTGCAAAGTTTACGGTCCCTTCAGATCATTACTAGAGCTAAATGAATTTATGCAATATTTGTAATTATATCACTGTCCGATTACACTGTATGCTGATGAAGGCTTTCTAGCCACAACATTCACTCTGTTGTTCATGACAGTGATAATGTGTAGAAAACTAGTTCTACTTCTCATCTTGACTTATATTTATTCCATATACAAAAATTAAAAAAAATTAAAAAAAACAGCAGTCGATAAATGTGCTATTCCTACCAACTTTAAGCTGTCAATGCCAGATACGGACAGTCCTAAAGAAAAATAAATACAAAATACAACATGTGAGTTAGAGGTGTATTACAATCTGGACAGAATATGCAAGTCTGTCTGTCTTTTTTTTAACCTGCAGCCTTACACAATTTACAGTTGAGTATTCATATTTTTCAATAAAATGGTGCTCGGTAAGTTGTGATGTTGTGACTTGTGGTCTTGAAAATGTTACAATGTGCCGAAAAACAGCAGGTCCAATAAGAGCAAGATTGACATCCTGTCTGAACCTTTTGCTGTGATCTTATTCGCAAAGTTAGCAGTGTTGTAGCTTATATGCCCACAGAGCAAAGCAGTTTCAACTAAACATAAATAAATAATATAATGGCAGGTACCATTAAAGGATCTATGTGCGTAGGGGTAGCTTGCGCCAAGCTGGCCAAGGTGATCTACATCCCCATACATTTGTTGTATTTTTCTGCAAGTACTGGCTTGTTTATTATTCTGCCCTCAGGAATTCCACTTTTTCCAACTGTCTTCTGCATAAGATCATTGGAGTAAACAGTAGATATCAGTTTAACTCTCTTAGTGTCATGCCAGGTAATGGCCAAAATGCCTTTATCTTTTCTCACATTAAACAGGATGATCTGCTTTTTTTCAGCTTCAGCTGCTTTTTCTTTTTAAAAAAAAATATACAAAAAAATCAATTGGCATACATCCAATTGTGTCTGACATGGCACCTTGTTGTTGTTCATAAGGAGGGAAGACTGTCAAGCTTAACAAATTCAGTCTGAGTAGCCTTTCACCATTCATAAACAGCATTTTCAGATGTAGAAATGTTCTGGTCTCTTGTGCCATGTCAACTTCTTTCTTCAGATGTACCTGCATCACCTCTGTCATCAAATCTATCATCACTTTCACTACTTTAGTTGCAACATAACAATAACATTCATCAGTGTATCTCTACTTATACAAGAATCATCATTCTCAGCGCTACATCCCCTGACAGATCCCAATCATCAATACTACGGGTCTGATTTTCGTAATCAGATATGATAAAAAGGCTGAATATGCGCTGGCAATGAAAATTACCAAAATGTCACTGAAAACAACGCTTGCATCAGCTCAAAGTGATATCAATTGTATATAGATATAGTTATCTTGGAATCTGTTCACCAAGGGAAATTTGATGATTGTCGAATTTGGTCAGGAAAGTGTTAAGAAAGAAGCAGTAGGACAAAAGAAGAAAAAAGAAGACAAACAATAAGTTAGGTTTCTGTAGAAACCTGTAGAAACTTGTAGAAACCTGTAGAAACTTGTAGAAACCTGTAGAAACTTGTAGAAACCTGTAGAAAACAGAAGATGCCAGGCACTTGCCTTCATGTTCATAGAAGACAAACAATAAGTTAGGTTTCTGTAGAAACCTGTAGAAACTTGTAGAAACCTGTAGAAACTTGTAGAAACCTGTAGAAACTTGTAGAAACCTGTAGAAAACAGAAGATGCCAGGCACTTGCCTTCATGTTCATAATCAGCTGCTCCAGTATGAGATGAGGGCAGGAGATGAGGTGCATGTAATCTCCCTGGGCACCCACTGGGAGGCACATCAATGCCTAGTCATGGATGAACAAGTGAAACAATTGTTATCATTTACATACACTCTTCATTTCCTACCCTTCTTTCTTCACTTTCTTAACACTTCTTCCTCAGCTCAACTTTTGCCTCTCTCCCCTTCATCCTTTTCTTTCTCAACTCTTTTTTTCCCTTCCTCAGCTCAATTTTTGACTATTCCCACTTCTTCCACCTCTTTCTCAACTCTTCTTCTTCCTCAACTCCTCTTTTGACTCTCTCCCCTTCTTCCTCCTCTTTCTTAACACTTCTATTTCTTACTCAATTCCTATTTTGACTCTCTCCCCTTCTTCCTCCTCTTTCTTAACTCTTCTTTTGCTTCCTCAATTCCTCTTTTGACTCTCTCCCCTTCTTCCTCCTCTTTCTTAACTCTTCTTCTTCCTCAAACTCTTCTTATTCTTTTTCCCTCTACATCTTCCTCCTCTTTCTTAACTCTACTCCTTGTTCTGTAACTTATCCTCTTCCTCCCTGTCTCTGCTCTATCCTAACTCTTATGTACCCTGGAGCATTTGGGGGAGGGGGGAGGCGGGGTATTACTGCAACAAAGTGGTCAAGTTGTTTGTCCTGCACATTGAAGTTCATGTGTTTATTTCACAGTTCTGTTCATCAGTGCAAATTTTAGGGAAATCACTTGGGACCATCACTAGAGCTAAGAAGTTCATGATTTGTGCAATGCTCTTGTGGCAGGTGGCTAGGCATTCTGGGATATAATCCAGTGCAATGAAGTCAATCCTTTTGTCTTTAACTTTAAACTCTGATACTTTGCATTCAAGATTTTTAATGAACTCTGAGTCCCAGTGGGTTTAGCATCACAGGCTCAAGGGGATGTAAAGAGAGACACAAAATCGGTGCATCATGAGTTAACTGGGCTTCCAGGTATGAACCTATAGAAGTGTGATGCATTCCCTGGGACTCAAAGAATTAGGATAATTTTACATACAATGGGAGTTGCCGTGACAGAGCGGCTAGACGCACGCCGTGGATCAGAAGGTCATGGCGGAGCCAGATTTTTTTTTTTCAAAAATGACTTTGGCTCCCAGGTTGACCCAGCCTTGAGTGGGTACCGGGTGCAGTCCCGGGAAGTAAAGGCAGCTAGCGTGATGCTGACCACATCACCCATCATAAAATATAGGTCTAGCCCTATATGCTCTATACGCCTAAAGGCGTGGAAAAGGGTCCTTTACTTTACTTATACATACAATCCTAATAATACATTCACATTTCTACCTTTGCACCAATCCTCTTCAGTCTCAGGTTCTCCACGTCTTCGGCTGCCAGGTTTTGGGAGAGGAACTGAAGCATGTAGCCGACTACAAACTTGATGTTTCTGGGGCTGGTCAGTCGGTCAGCCAGTGCTTGACACACAGACAAACACTGAGCTTTGGAGACCAGCCTGAGCTTGTCCAGCAGCTGGAAGGCGGTCACTGTATCCGGCTGATCTAGGGTCAGAAGATGATACAGGTGCCGCTGCTCAATATCCTGAAGAATTAAAATAAGTAGATCAAATGAAAAGGCCCTTTACATTTCATTGGCGTGTCAGGCATATGATGCTAAACTCATTTTTGTAGACCAATACCTAGTCAGTGGGGAATGTGGTCAACATCACACAGGCCACCTTTACTTCCCAGAACTTTACCTGGTACCTGGTAGCAGGGCTATTTAAATGGAGGCCTGTGGGATGAATCCAACCTAGCATGCAGAGACACAGAAAGTGAATAATAGAACAGATGTGCATGCAAACCACATGTCCTGAAACAGACTAAAGTTCAGAAATGGATGAACAACCAGAACTTTCCGCTAAAGTTTACGTGAAGAAGACGAATGACTAGGTGGCAGGGGTGAAGCAGTAAAAGAGACAAGTATCACTGAAGTTAGTCTGCATGGTCAAGTGGTCAAGCCATTTGCCTCCTGCTCTGAAAGTTGTGGCTTCATTTCCCAGACACTTTTTGATTGGTTTTGTACACAGCACTAGATAGAGATTGTTGCTGGAGCTAAGAAGTTTGTACTTTTTGTGATGTCTCAATAATCATCTAGCCATTCTAAGGAGCAAGATTAAACCAAATGATAACACCATGAAGTCAATCCTCTCGACTTTTAATTTGATTAAAGTTAATGCAATTGAAAGCATAGTAGCTTCTTTAATTCATTCATTCATTCAGTAGCATGTCCCTCGCGGAACCTCGCTGCCATAACAACCCTCCGGAAAACCTTCCTATCCTGAGCAAGATGTCCTGCGTCTGATACACCCATCTGGAGATCATCTGCCACATCCTGCACCCATCTTCTCCTTGCTCTTCCTCTCTTCCCAGGCATATACCCCTCCATTATTGTTCTCTCGCTTCTTTAATAAAAAAAATAAAAAAAATTCAAATTCCAATTTGCTTTATAAACAGTAAAGGCATAAAAATCATACAGGTCAATCACTGACACAGTTAAAGATGATAGTATGAGCAGTAAAACTTTGTAAACATGAAATTACTAAGAAGAACATCCAGTTAGAATTAAGAAAATGTTGGTCTCAGTAAGGATATATTATTGCTATTAGTCCCTGGTCGAGGAAAAGTGTGCTCATGCACTTAGCACCGCAGTCAGCAGTGTTAAGGTTGGCTAGCTTCTCTTCGGAGAAGTGAAAAGTTAAATTTAAGGACCCTGTAGACGACCCGTAAAGTACCCAGGTTAACCCCCCTCCTTGTGGTGCACGCTAGAAAACTGAAACCGTGAGGTTTTAGGCTAACAGGGTAATGGCTCGACTGGAAGGAGATGGGCACCAGCCAGGTCAGATTTCTTCCTGCTCTGCCAAGCAACAGGCCTAGCAAGCCGGCAGTGGTGTAACTGATTGCCTCTTCACAGAAAATATTGAATACAACTTGGTATCAGTGAGATGTCAAAGAAGAAAAAGAGGAAGAATAAGTCCTTGATTAGAACACATTTGTTAACACAAATTTGATTTTGGTCTCTTAGAATTCATGTTAATGAGGTTCTACTGTACAGTATATGTAATTACGTTAAAACATTACGTATACGTGTGCTGGGTAAACCATACCGCCACAGCACCATGTGCTAAATACCTTGAGTATGTCCTGGGGTAGCTTGTGTACAGTTGCCCAGGCTCGAGCAGCAGCAAAGTCTCCAGCCTTCTCTAGAACCAGCAGCACCTCTCCAGGCTCTGTCTGACTGGCCTTGGGGATCAGTTTCCAGTCAGTGAACCTCTCCAGGAGCTTGTGCAGGTGTTGGTCTTCGGTGCTCATGTACGCAACAGGCACTTCTCTCATAGACAGCTTGATGCGCAGAGTCTTGACACAGTCTAAGATCTGATTATAGAATAAAGAAACAAACTGAACAATTTGTTTGCTTGGTTTAGTAAAGTATGATTCATGGAGGGTATGGCCATCACACCTTGCCACTCAAGTGATGAAAGGATGTTACAGCCATCATGTCTAGCTACTCCAAAGATGAAAATGATGTTACAGCATCACATCTAGCCACTCCAATGATGAAAAGGATGTTACAGCCATCACGTCCAGCCACTCCAATGATGAAAATGATATTACAGCATCACATCTAGCCACTCCAATGATGAAAATGATGTTACAGCATCACATCTAGCCACTCCAATGATGAAAATGATGTAACAGCATCACATCTAGCCACTCCGATGATGAAAAGGATATTACAGCCATCACATCTAGCCACTCCAATGATGAAAATGATGTTACAGCATCACATCTAGCCACTCCAATGATGAAAAGGATGTTACAGCCATCATGTCCAGCCACTCCAATGATGAAAAGGATGTTACAGCCATCATGTCTAGCCACTCTAATGATGAAAAGGATGTTACAGCCATCATGTCCAGCCACTCCAATGATGAAAAGGATGTTACAGCCTTCATGTCTAGACACTCCAATGATGAAAAAGAGGTTATAGCCATCATGTCTAGCCACTCTAATGATGAAAAGGATGTTACAGCCATCATGTCTGGCCACTCTAATGATGAAAAGGATGTTACAGCCATCATGTCCAGCCACTCCAATGACAGAGTCAGTAAGTCTTTTGAGAACCTTCTTATCTACTCACCCATGGGCCTGAATGTCCAACACAGCTTTATCTAATATTTTTGAGTTAAAGCCACACCTCTTTCTGGTCAGCAAGTACTTCCTGTATTCACACATGTCTCAGAGTTTCCACTGGCCAGACATATGAATATTTGCTTTTGTAGTGATCTCAGTGATTGCATATATTCTTGTCTGTCATTGTAACAATGCAATGGTACAGACATGCCACAAGATCCAACAGCCTCCCAAAAACTACAACAGAGCTCTGTAAAGGGAAAGAGGAGAAGAGGCAGACCAAGAATGACCTGGATACATAACCTGGCTGACTGGACAAGCTTTAGGCATACAACCCTGAAGTTCACTGAATCTGACCTTCACAGGTGGAGGGAACGGATCAGACAATCAACAGCAACTATGACCCAATGACACACAGCGTTACTGCGGGACAATGATGATGATGATGAATTGTAGGATTGTCAATTTATGTCATGTGCTGATGATTCATGGGTGTGAAAAATGAAGCAGACCAGTTCTACTTCTCATCTGGTCTGATGTTTTTCACTTTTATTAACCACATACAAGCCTCAATCCTATAGATGCAAGTCCCTTTCAAGGCTCAGATGATCCAAATGTCAACAAGTCAGATTTCAAAGTCAGAATTCAAGTAAAGAAGATGTCCAACCAACTTATTAACCAACAAACAACCAACTGATCAATCATTCCTAAATTATTTAACCCTTTCATGGCAGTGACCTATAAAAACATATTGCCAAGATCCTGTATTTTCCATATTTTGGGGATTCCCCTAAAAAAATATCTTTAAAAAATGGGTTATGGTGTGTTGTCACTACACAGGGCAGAGGTGATCGTCCTCCTGTGGGACAAGATAATCAAAATGGAAGATACTCATACCTGGAAAGAATGATGCAACAGTGAGTGTCTACCGCCACTAGGTGCCACTCAAGACTTGGGGGGAAAGGCAAGATAAGTAGTTGAACAGATAACAATGGCTACCATCAGTATGGGAACTCTTTGCTGGCTGTTGAGGAGGTAGACGGAGGTGTCCTGATTGCTGTGATGTATCGCATGAAAAACATCTTTAATTTCACTCTTCTTTGTTTTCAAGTTTATAATGAGGAAACATACTTTTTGATTATGAAACATCAAGTTTTATAATGAGGAAACATACTTTTGATTATGAAACATCAATGACTTTGTTCAAGTTTATAATGAGGTAACATACTTTTGATTATGAAACATCAATGACTTTGTTCAAGTTTAAAATGAGGAAACATACGTTTGATTATGAAACATCAATGACTTTGTTCAAGTTTATAATGAGGAAATATATTTTTGATTATGAAACATCCATACCTTTCCAACCTGGCTAATAGCCCAACAGGACAAGACAAAATCATGAAGGACTTGCAAGTACAGCCGCTCGACGACAACAGTCTCCGGCAAGCTCCTGATGATGTTGAAGACTTCCAGCCACTTGTGCTCCTCCAGGAGCCGGTTGGCCATGTCCTGGATCACACACTGGAACTGGTCACTGCTGGGCAGGCTAAACATGCAGAGCTTCACCTGGGGACACAGTAGATGAAGAATGGGATTGTCATTTTTAGGTCACAGTGGGGAAAAAAATGAGAGTAAAGCAAAAGACTTATTTTTACGCCTTCCAGCCTATTGAGCATATAGTGCTAGATCTATATGTTATAGACCAATCGGCATTCAGTGTGTGATGAGGTCACACTGGTTGCCTTTACTGTCCAGGACCTTACCTTGTACCCAATTAAGGCTGGGTCAACCAGGGAGCCATGTTCATTTCATGTCATAGTATTCATTCCAAAAGATACTAGACCAATGAAAAGTAGAAACAATCAGCTTTGCAACATCACAAACATAAACAACAAGTGAGGGTTGTGGCTAAAGAGCCTTCATCAGCACACTGCATGAATCTACAATACCATAATAACCTCCAGTAATACACAAAATCACTTAACTGATGTATCTGCAAAAAAAAATTACATTGCTGTCTGACCAGTAGAATAGATGGCACACGTGTAGCCACTGTCAATACATACCAGCCATGGAAAGTCATGGGTGAGAAGAGCTATATCTCAATTCTTTCCAAAGACTAGTGTAAGTGTCTTCACTTCTTGTATATGCCACCTTTTAGGGCCTTTGTAAGGCAACAGGGTCTTGATCTGGAGGTTTTAGGTCTGCACAGCTGATACAACTGCCATGAACTGTGCTGGTTAGGATGTTTTTATTTCTGTCTCTCTCCTCACTCACTCACTCACGCACACATAAAGACCAACACTTTACAGAGGATTTGAACCTGGATCTCCTAGCATGAGAACCCTGTTTTCTAACAACTCAACTAGCTTCTCCTCAAAGCCTGATATCTTCTTCTTCCCTTCCTCTTTTATTGCTTCAAGTGTTGAGGGAGAAATGAGGTTCTGATGCCTGCTCATCTGGCCACCCGACCACAGACACATCATGCCATTGTAGTGTTTCTCTGATGTTATCTTTCCAAGACTGATATAAATTTGTTAAAACAAATCTTCTGACCTTTACCCAATAATGGAGCATAGGCCACCAACCAACCCATGCCATGTTTCACCGGCTGTAAACTCCAGAAGAAATTTGTTTGTTGGACTATTTCTGGACTTTAGTTGTGTTCCACCGCTTGAGTTTGTTTTATATGCACATCCATCTGAAAAATCTAGCTGACTGACATGCAGACTGCTGTTTTCTCGCGTCTCAGGTAGATGCACTCTGATTTTGAAGGAAACACCCCTAATTAGTCCCATTTTGCGACATGTTAAGTGGTGTGTGGGGGGGGGGGGGGAGGAGTGGCAGTGGATCTATCCTCTTTCGTTTGCCCAAAATGAGGCCCCAGAACCCACATGGGGGTGTTCTCTCAAAGCTCCACATTAGTGATTATATCAGACTGCAATCAGATACCAAAATTAACATTGAAAAAACAAACTGAAAAGAAGGTTCTAAAATGGAAAGAAGGAAAGTTCTGGGAAGTAAAGTTGACCGAAATGATATTGACAATCTCACCCATTGAGTGCCACATTGTCTATAAGAATATTAGGATAGCACCACATGCCAGATAGGCGTTGTGTGCAAACAGGTAATTTACTTGTCTTCACATTACTTACCTGGCTATCAATTTCATTGGTGACAAACTTCAGAATGGGTTCACTACTTGTCAACAACTCTGGATTATCTGCCCCAGCAAGAGGGAGTATATAGTGCAGCAGATGGCGCTGCAGTATCGGGTAATCATCAGTCAAGCGGTGGTACCGATAACTCCGAATATCAACCAGGTTGATGTCTGACTGATGACTGCCCACGACAGCCGGATACATTCTGTTGAGGTTCCCTGAGTCAGGCACCGATTCCGACATGTTGAAGTGGTCAGCAGTGAAATGTTGTTCAATATTGTCCAAGTTGTCCGAGCATACAAGACTGACCATTGTGGCCACTAGCAGGGAATTCTGCTTGACGTAATCGAGGGTCACTGGGGTCAGCTTATAGCTGGGAAGTTCAAGGCTCCAGCCTTGACCTGAACGGTCAACCGAGCTGGATAAACGATACACTGGTGCTCTGGGTTTATCTGTGTTTGGGATATTTTGGGGTGGAGTGATGCGACCAACTTTAACATAGCTGATGTCAAAAGTCACACAGAATCCGTTCAAAACATCAAATTATTTACCATGTTTCAAAGAGATCAATTTCCACACTGAATCACCATTCACGTACACTGTTACATTTGTGCCTTCCTTTCCACACACAAAGCTGTGTGGGCAGTCCATTCAAGTCTTGATGTGTTGTTTGCTTCTGGCTAAAGTTTGCCAATACAATTTCCACATATGGACTGCACTCCAATTTTGTTGCCAAAGCTATAGAGCTCAGTGCTTGGTGCAGCACTGTGAACTGTGTATTCAGTGTGGGTTGCCATGTGTCCATACCTGCGGGTGGCTGTGTTGTGATAGTCAGAAAAATGGCTTGATATGGAGTTAGTGAACACTTTATTGAAGTTTACAAAAGCTTATACAGTGAAGTGTAGTTAGAATAAATAATTGAACATCTAAACCATTCAAAGTAACATCTGCAGTGAGACAGGGATGTGTCTTATTACCACTCCTGTTTGAGTAGGACAGGGATGTGTCATATCACCACTCCTGTTTTTCATCTACATTGACAGTATAAACAAGGATGCTAGGCCCAGGAACGAAAATAATAGTAACATCAAAGAATCTACTTATCTTATTCAAAATCTACCTCATTCACAATTTACCCATCTTATTCACAATCTATCTCTTATTCATTATCTATCAATCTTATTCGCAGTCTATCTCTTATTCACAATCTACATATCTTATTCACAATCTACGTATCTTATTCACACTATATATCTTTTTCACAATCTATCTATCTTATTCACAATATATCTCAATCACAATCTAACTCTGAGAGGCAGGGAACGAGTACTGCAAACAAATAAGCCAGTAAAACGGATGTACACGCAAAACTCAGGTCAAGGTAAAAGCCAAAAGTCCATTTTGGACGAACAACCGTGACTTACCGCCGGAATTCACAGCCGGTGAACAAGAAGAAGAAGAAACAATCTAACTCACAATCAAACTATCTTATTCACAGTCTATTTTATTCAGAATCTATCTATCTTCTTCACAATCTACACACAATTATCCATCATTCCTATCCACACACACTAAACTACCTGAGAAACTCACCAATGTTCTCGCTCAAGCCATGTGCACTGTCCAGGCCAAACATTTGCTGCAGCTGCCTCTGCTTCTCAGCACTCAGATGCTGTGCAACATACCTGACCAAGGAGGTGTGCTGCATCTCTTTGGAATGTCCAGACTCCGCCACAAAATATTTCTCATACCAAACTAGCAGCTCGGGAAGTAGAACCTGTCAGAGAAAGAATGACAAAATATTTTCACCTTTTTCTTCTTCCTCTCTACCTTCTTTTTCTACTCTTTTCTCTTCTTCTGCTACTTTTATCTTGATCTATGTCTTCTCTTTCTACATTTATTCTTCTTCTAGTTTTTTCTTTATCTCTTTTTACTTTTCTCTCTCCTGTTTTTACCTGCTTCCCTTTCTACTTTTTTTCCCCTTTTCTATATTATCTTCTTTTCTACTCCTCTTTCTAATTATTTTTCTTTTCAATTTTAATATTTATCTCCTACTACTTCTAGGAGAAAAGGCTCAACTCAGCTTTGTTGACCATGTTTTTTTTCCATCAAAGTGCATATCGGGCTGACTTTAGGGCTCAAGCTGTCACATAATGGTGTAAAAGCCCACACCCCCTTAGTCACCCCTTATGACATGTTTGGTAGGCTGCAGTGTTGTAACTGTTTGCTTTCCTTAATAATAAAGAAGTGGTTGATGAAACATGAGCAACAGAAAAGGGCTTAAACTCACCCGCTCCTGTTCCAATGAGATGACAACAGTGTGAGATAAATATTCCTTCATGGATTTATCCAGCTGGGTCCTCACCTGATCTGGATGTAGCACCTGAGAGGGACCACAGTTAAGAGTATTTAAAAGGTAGTACCAGCGGCAGATACTGGTGCAGAGGTGTAATATGAGGGGGTCAATGAGGTGAGCAGTGATAATGTGTGAGTGCATGATCCGATAAGACGGTTTTAGAATTAAGAATGTGAAATTACATGCTGCAAGTATATGATTTAGAGTTGTTCTTCTTTTTTATGTTCACCGGCTGTAAACTCCAAAGGAAGTTCCTAATAAGTCTACTCTTATGACATGCTTTTGGGCAGACAGTGGGTCTATTCTTGTTCCCCCCTCATTTTTAGTCAAATTTCTCTGGAATTCCATATCACAGAGTAGTTAGGTGTAGATTCTTGTCTTTTGTTAGTTGTGCAGTCAGTGTTAATGTCATACTGTGTTTGATATGACTGATCAGATGTAGTGGTGTGGAATTAAAAGATTTAAGGATTTTAAATGGTAGAGCATAGCAATGTGAAATTACAGCATGTTCATTGATTATCCTGTTGGGCCATAACGTGTCACATAGAACTGGCAGTCTATTCCTTCATTCTGTTCTGTCCTTAGTTAGTTAGTTAGTTAGTTAGTTAGTTGGGTTATCCTCATTGCACTCCGGACATGTCCATAGGTGCTCAGATCCTCCCCTCAGTATGAACCCCAACGTCCGATGGCTAATAGTACCAGTTCTATGTTGATTAACAAACAAGTCTTCTGGCGTAACTGGTGTGCGTCTCGTTTTTTGCTGTGCCGATCTTAATTCCCAAGTCTGCCATTCTGGCGAGTGATGTGGATTCACTGCCACCAAAGTCGTCTATCCTTCCCATTTCTCTGAGGGCATTGACAATATCAGCATGATCCATAGGCTGACCGTCGGTAGTGATAGCGGATCCAGCCAACCTGTCAGCTCTTTCATTTCCATCGACGCCTGCGTGTCCCAGAACAAAAATAAAGGTGACTCCACGGACAGTGGACTTCTGTAATGATTCAAGCCATTGTCTTCGCACTGAACCTGCCTGAACCCTCCGGATCATACTCATTGAATCACTGAGTATACACACGCGGGTGTATTTTTGTGTTTCAAGCCAGGCAAGCGCTTGTGTCACTGCCATCACCTCCATCGTCATGCTGCTGGTTGTCATGGAGAAGGCGCCGTTGGCTTCTTTGACTGTTCTGCCCGCTGAGCGTGCTGTAAATGCCCATGCGCTTCTTCTTTGGCGTATAACGGATCCGTCTGTATAGATTATTGCATCTGCTTCGTCTGAATTTTCACCGATGAGAGCATTGACCTCTGCATTAACAGCAACAGGATTCTCTTCTCTACATCGCCTGTTGAGTGTGACAATACAGGAAAATGTACAAATAAACGCCTGAGGCACAGGTATCCATTCTGCACCAGGTATGATGTCGGTTAGGCTGCATATTTGCCTAATAACATCTTCTGCCCGACCTAGCCACGATTTCCCCCTCTTCAGTCTGTTGCCCTTTTCACTAAAAAGCGCTTGATGCAGTGGGTGTTTCTTATCAGCACATATTTTGAGATATGCCCGAGCCCTCCACATCCTGATCCTTTGGTTCATTGTTGGAAAGTCCTGTGGAGCAATGAGGTATCTGTTCTGTCCTGTGCGCAACCACCTCCATATCAAATTGAATTTTGGTAAAATTCAAGATATTTTCCCCATTCACACAGTGTTACACACTACCTCACTTCTTATTGGTTGACCTTCAGCCTAGCTCACTTCTGATTGGTCAACCTTGAGCCACCCAACCTTCACACAAGGTGACGGAGGTGTTCCGCAATGCCCTTGACATTGTTTGTTGTATATTTCAGCATGCCACAGATTTTAACACTCTAAAAACATCGACATACTGGTTCTAACACACAACCCCCCTAGAGGGAGCTGCAACCTATGTCACAGGCATTCTCTTTATCCGAATAAAAACGTAAATGCTAGACAACACAGATAGCAAACAACAGAGCGGCACACCCGTAATCCCCAGCAGGTAAGACCAGTCCAAGAAAGCTATCAATGGAACATGACCTACTTTCTGTGGGGGAGACTAAAGTTTGTTTAACCGGAATTTTAAATAAGAGAAAGAAGCAATTTGGGCAGACTACCAAAAAAAGTGAATAGACAGTGAAGTTAAAAAGATGGGGAGGACCCTGGGTGAGCTGCATATGACAGCAATAGATTTGGCATGAGCTGGTTGAGGGTCTATGCTCCATCAGTGGGTAAAAAGGAGAAGGAGCAGGAGAAGATGTGAAGTTACTGGATGTAAGAGTGAACAGATGTATACAGACAGAGACCAGGTAACCAGACATACAGACCTGTAAGGGAGGTGATGACATGCAGCCTAAATTGAGCGCAAAAATCAGCCGAGGCTCTGCCACAGGACAGAACATTCTCCAGGGATCATCTGGGGTCAGCACTGCAACAAAGAATATTGATCTGATCTCATCATCATTAGTTCTTCGCATTTACCGCCCAATGCACACAGGACAACAGGACAAATTTAACGTTAGTAGGTATATCTCAGGTGTCATATACTGTATTCAATAGTCTTGTAACCTCGTCTATTCCACATTCTTTGAATGCATTGATCATTTCACTTGTGATGACGTCTGATCTGCAGACTTTTTCCCTTTCACTTGGCTAAGTTGGCTCCGTGTTGAGGGGCAGATGAAGTGCATAGGGTTTCAAGCATCACTTTGGATATTTTCTCCAGGTCATGCTGGTGTGTTGGGAAACGAGCAGGCAGATAGACTGGCTGGTTCTGCATCACTTGGTGTTAAACTAATGTATGACAAGTTATATATTGTTAGGGCCCTTTGTGGGCGAGTGAACATGGCGGAGGTGCAAACAGATCATTAGGGTCTAAGAAGAATGGCGCTGCAAGGAGTTACCAGGCATTCTGGCCGACACTCAACACCCAGGGGAAGGATGAGACGGATATACCATCAGACGGTTATTGGTACCATCAGAATTGGAACTCTTCGCTTGCTGCTAAAGATGAGGACTGAGCACTTATGGGAGTGTCCCGAGTGCTGTGATGTCAATTCTTAATTCATCATTAAACACATGGCTAAGTGGTTAAGGGCATTCTGAACTTCAAAACTGGTGATGCACATGAGCAATAATAAACAAAGAGGAAAAAAAAAAAGAAATACCATACTGCATTAAGAGCTTGTATATGTCTTGTGGAAACAGGAGTGAAATGAGGACATTCTCTCTCCTTCTTCTTCACTTTCTGAGTTTTGAGTAAGATATAAGGTTCTGCTTCATGCTCTTCTGGCTGCCTCGACCATAGACACATTGTGTTGTTGATGAAATTCTTTTATGTTATCTTTCCATCATGTTCTTGGTCTACCTTGTGCTTGATGTCCTTCTCTTTTGCTGTATGCCTTGTATTGCATCACAAGACATTCTCTCTAAGTGGGCAAACCTGATCTCATGTCTTCATATGTATTTAAGAACTGGTTCTGCGTTGACTTTTTTCTCCTTTGACTTTCTCAGACATCTCATTTTCATGGTTACTAATTTTCTTTTCTAGTCTGTTGTCATGGACCATGTCTTCCATCTTAGTAGCATACAGTGTGAATGAAAATGCTTTATATAAGATGTTTCCTTGTACTGATCGGGACTGTCTTACGCTGTAAGGAGGAAAGTGTAAGTGTGTGTGTGTGTGTGTGTGTGCAGGTGTGTGTGTGTAAGTGTGTGTGTGTGTAAGTGTGTGTGTGTGTAAGTGTGTGTGTATATATGTAAGTGTATGTGTGTGTAAGTGTGTGTGTAAGTGTGTGTGTGTAAGTGTGTGTGTAAGTGTGTGTGTGTGTGTGTAAGTGTGTGTGTGTAAGTGTGTGTATAAGTGTAAATGTGTGTGTGTAAATATATGTGTGTGTAAATGTGTGTGTGTGTGTAAATGTGTGTGTGTGTGTAAGTGTGTGTGTGTAAGTGTGTGTGTGTAAGTGTGTGTGTAAGTGCGTAAGTATGTGTGTACGTAAGTGTCTGTGTGTGTGTAAGTAAGTGTCTGTGTGTGTGTGTAAGTAAGTGTGTGTGTGTGTAAGTAAGTGTGTGTAAGTGTGTGTGTGTGTAAGTAAGTGTGTGTGTAAGTAAGTGTGTGTGTGTGTAAGTGTGTGTGTGTAAGTAAGTGTGTGTGTGTAAGTGTGTGTGTGTGTAAGTAAGTGTGTGTGTGTGTAAGTGTGTGTGTGTGTGTGTGTGTGTAACTAAGTGTGTGTGTGTGTTTAACTAAGTGTGTGTGTGTTTAACTAAGTGTGTGTGTGTGTAAGTAAGTGTGTGTGTGTGAGTAAGTGTGTGTGTGTGTGTAAGTAAGTGTGTGTGTGTGTAAGTAAGTGTGTGTGTAAGTAAGTGTGTGTGTGTGTGTAAGTAAGTGAGTGTGTGTAACTAAGTGTGTGTGTGTGACTAAGTGTATGTGTGTGTGTAACTAAGTGTGTGTGTGTGTGTGTGTAAAACTAAGTGTGTGTGTGTAAAACTAAGTGTGTGTGTAACTAAGTGTGTGTGTGTGTGTAACTAAGTGTGTATGTGTGTGTAAGTAAGTAAGTAAGTGTGTGTGTGTGTGTGCGTGCATGCGTGAGTGTGTGTGTGGGGGGGGGGAAAGCGAGAGAGAGAGAGAGAGTGTTACTGTCTCCATCTTTGGAAATGTGGACACGTAGGTGACAAAAAGGAATGGTGTTCTTGACAAATTCACCAGTCATTTTGTCTCGAAGAGTAGCTGATTTATCCCAGGCATCCTCTCTCTGTCTGCAAAAACTGGACAGTACCACACAAATATATACAGTTGATTGGCAACCTAAAAATGTGACACTTTGCCATAGCTCTCACCCAACTTTCTGCAACCCAGGGTGTGTTTCCACTGTCCTGAAGGAGGCAGTTCAGTGCAGCATAGAGTGGTCAGCAAATCGAAGACGCTGGAGAAGATATCAAAATATCAACAGACAGAAACTGTTTAGAAGAAACATACACAGACACAACAGACAGAAACTGCTGCAGACAATAACTGTTTAGAAGAAACTTATACAGACTCAACAGACAGAAACTACTGCAGACAAAAACTGTTTAGAAGAAACATACACAGACACAACAGACAGAAACTGCTGCAGACAAAAACTGTTTAGAAGAAACATACACAGACACAACAGACAGAAACTGCTGCAGACAATAACTGTTTAGAAGAAACTTATACAGACTCAACAGACAGAAACTACTGCAGACAAAAACTGTTTAGAAGAAACATACACAGACACAACAGACAGAAACTGTTTAGAAGAAACATACACAGACACAACAGACAGAAACTGTTTAGAAGAAACATACACAGACACAACAGACAGAAACTGTTTAGAAGAAACATACACAGACACAACAGACAGAAACTGTTTAGAAGAAACATACACAGACACAACAGACAGAAACTGCTGCAGACAAAAACTGTTTAGAAGAAACATACACAGACACAACAGACAGAAACTGTTTAGAAGAAACATACACAGACACAACAGACAGAAACTACTGCAGACAAAAACTGTTTAGAAGAAACATACACAGACACAACAGACAGAAACTGTTTAGAAGAAACATACACAGACACAACAGACAGAAACTACTGCAGACAAAAACTGTTTAGAAGAAACTTATACAGACACAACAGACAGAAACTGTTTAGAAGAAACATACACAGACACAACAGACAGAAACTGCTGCAGACAACAACTGTTTAGAAGAAACTTATACAGACACAACAGACAGAAACTGCTGCAGACAAAAACTGTTTAGAAGAAACTTATACAGACACAACAGACAGAAACTGTTTAGAAGAAACATACACAGACACAACAGACAGAAACTGCTGCAGACAAAAACTGTTTAGAAGAAACATACACAGACACAACAGACAGAAACTGCTGCAGACAAAAACTGTTTAGAAGAAACATACACAGACACAACAGACAGAAACTGCTGCAGACAACAACTGTTTAGAAGAAACTTATACAGACACAACAGACAGAAACTACTGCAGACAACAACTGTTTAGAAGAAACATATACAGATACAACAAAACATTGTACAATTTATTGCCAGGCATATTCACCTGGATCTCCTCAGCTGCATTGCTTTGGATTTGAATCAACATATAATAAAGCATATAAACTAAAATTCCACGTTACTATCGTTCACTTCTGGAGATTAGGTTAAAAGCATACCCAGAGAGACCATCTGTGTTTCCGTAGAATTTATTCTTTTTCTCAAGTTATTTAAACTCAATATTGGAAAACCTTCTGAACATATGCTTTAGCTGGTTGCAAACCCATTCCTAGAATTTACAGACTTCAAAACAAAAAGCATGAAAAAAATAACGGGTCTTTCCTAGAAATTCCTGACTCTCCTGGTTTCCCAACTCTGCTCTGTCAGTTGATATTTTATTATTAAACATTAAAACTGTTTCTTGCCTAGTTTTTGAAGCTTTCCTCAAATATCTTTCTGTCCTAATTTGCCTCTTAAATGTTGAATTCTCCTAATTTCTCTATTCTATTTTTTCTGTTGTTTTATCCCATACACTGCATTTCTACTTGTCTTCTTCTGATAACTGATTGAGTAATACTGTTAGTTATAAATACCTCAGGCTCTATTATCTTTCTCTGCCCTTGATATTCTGTACATTTTCTTTAAATGTTGCCAGGAAAAGAAGAATAGCCCCACTGCATCCCCAACAAGTAAGACTTGGGGCTTTCTTCGAAGCTGAAGTGCATCTGCCTGAGAGGTAAGGAACCAATAGTATGCATACACACAGAGATCTATAAAACTGATGTGCATGCCACATTCAGGTTCTGGAACAAAACTAAAGTCCATGTGGAAGAAAAACCAAAACTTTCCCCTGGAGTTTACAGCCGACGAATGTAAAGAAGAAGAAGCAGTAGAAGAGAACACTTCAGTGTTATCACAATTTCACTATAATCATTCACATCCATATTTGCTGTTGTGTGCCCATTTTGGGGGAAGCAAGAATAAACCCACTGGCTCCACCTGACAAGCATATCATAAAAAGTGATGAACTAGGGGGTGTCCTCTTTGCAGAACGTCGCTCTCATCATGGTCTGCCTGAAAAAAACTCAATCTCTCTCTAGCTCTCCCGCCTCATGTACTTTCATACTCAAGGAGTCACTTATATCATGTGCACATCTTCGTGTTGGTCGGCCCCTGCCCCTCCTTCTTGATACCGTGCCTTCTGCTATTATTTTTTTAAATCCATCGTGGAGCTTGATATGACCAAAATATTTCAGCTTCTGAGACAGGATGCTGTTTATTGGCCAATTATCCTTGATGTTCAGATCTTTCAAAATGTCAGTTTTTCTCCTCTTCTTTGTCCAAGATACTCTGAGAATCTTTCTATAGCATTTCAGCTCAAAAGCCACTATTCTCTTTCTTAAGGACTGGGAGATAGTCCATGACTCACATCCGTATGTTAACAGCCTCATGCGATTAAAATCCAGCACAGTTTATAACACAGCAGAACTCACCTAACGATGCCCAGCTGTCCCACTTCATATGAAAAGCTACTGAAGTATGCAATGTAGTCTGCAGCACCAAGTGGACATAACTCCACATCAATAATATCAGCAGTTACTTCCCTTGTATCTGACTTCTGGTAGATCTGAAAATGGCAGACAAATAAGATTTAAAAGAGAAACAGTTAAGAGAATAATGTAATCAATGGAAAAATAAACCTGTTAACATCATGGCCAAGTGGATTAACCCATAAGTGCTCCGTGCTACTTCTAACTAAAGCCTGAGTCCGAAGAATCTCAGCGCAGTGCAGGAACTCTGTAGCACCAGCAAGGATCCTGAAATAATTTGGGTAGATTTGTAACTAAAAATGTTGCCCTGGCAGCACCGTTAGGCTACTCATTTTGATGCCCAAGTGCCAAGGGATTTTTTTTAAGTGCACAACAATACACACGGGCGTCCGATCGTACTACCCAGAGACCAGGGGAAATTACTAGATGTCCAGATTAAAGAATCCTAGCCTTCACCGGGACCTGAATCCGGGACCTTCAGCACTTGAGGCGGATGCCATGCCTTACAGTCACTCAGCCCCCTGAAGATAAGAATGATTTCAGAGGCAGACTCCAAGCTAATAATCACAGAGCACTGTCTAACATGAAATCTGGTACCAATATCAGACACATGACAATGTAGGTAGGTAGATAAGTTATACCCCACAAGGACATCACACAAGCGATGAACACCCGATGACACAAAGTGCCACCACGCGAGTGAGGATCACCCGTGGAGAGGTCCCAGAAACCCCATTCAACCGTTAGGCCAAATTTAGGGCCCTGGCAAATGCCGGGGTGGGGCTTCAAAATAACTAAAAATTGCATCCCACATGGGGACGACAGGTAAATGATAATGTATAATCATAGATTTTCAGAAAGAAAAAACACATCTGAAAGAACAGGGATAAAAATGTCAAATGGCTTCTGAAGCTATTAAATTAGTTCCTGTAAAAATGGGTAAGGATTAGAAAAATACCAAGGACCAAGGGAAAAAAAAAGAAATACCGACATCCTAAAAGAATATAAACAAGAAAGATTGGCTTGAGAACAGCATCTTGTCTCGGAAACAGAAATATTTTGGCTATATCAAGCCCCAGGGCAGATCGGAGAAAAATAGTAGAAGGCATGGTGCCAGGAAAGAGAGGCAAAGGACAACCAGCATAGAGTTTGGCGCAGGATATTACTGACACCTTGAGTAGAAAGGAGCATGGGGTGCCAGAGACCTAGTTTCTTTCAGCTGGTCTGTGATCAGAGCAATGTTCTGCAAAGGACGTGTTATAAGACAATGAAAATGGGTGAAATAAACAAACAAAATATATTTGTATCAAATACAGTAAATGGAACTACTCTTTTCCCCAAGTGGGTTCCAGGGCCCCATTGCAGAGAAAACATAACTCCCCCATTGCAGGGAAAACACAATGCCCCCATTGCAGGGAAAACACAATGCCCCCACTGCAGGGGAAAAAAAAATAACCCAGCACCTCTCCAACAAGCGTGTCATAGGAGTCGACTCATTAGGGGGATCCTTCGAAGCTGGAGTACATCTGCCTGAGAGACAAGGAACAAAAAGTCTGCATACATATGAGCTAGATCTGTGAAACAGATGTGCATGCAACACTCAGGTTCTGGAACAAGACTAAACTCTGGAGATGGACAAACTACAGGAACTTTCTGCTGGAGTTTACAGCTCTATAATTAACAAAAATGGAGAATGCTCAATAAAAGTCACAAGCAAACTGGCTTTAGAAATGCAGATTAAATCATCAAAATAACATGCCTTGCTGGCTGGTGTAAGCGATCATGGCTCTCCATAATTGTGCTCTTCAACAGTATGGCACCAGTTTGGTGTGTTGACATCCGTCCATGCCACGACAAAAGGTTGTTGAGAATCTTCTCAAAATCTCCTTTTCCAGACAGACTTGTCCAGCGGAAACAAGATGTCTCTTCTCATATAATGAACACACACAAAATGATGACTGTCTCTTAGGGAATTCTAAGGATTCTTCTCTAGCAGAGGATAAGGTTAGTTGCGTATCCTTCACAGGATGTTGCAGAACCTATCCCAGCAGCCCCTGGCTGTTGTGTGGTTTCTCTAAGCAAATTTACGTAGAGTAGTTTGCCATTGTTCTCTGCACAATCAGCCCCCTGATACCACTGTCAAAACCAATGCAAGGCGCATGGCTCTCAGCTGGGATCGAACCCGGCACCCAGGCCTTACGAAGCGTTCACATCGACTTAACCACAGGGAACAGAGGCTAAACAGCAAATATTTTAAATTAAACTATTAGGACACAAGAAGAAATAAACATTACAAGAGCACTTTGCCCGGGTTTAAAAAAAAAGAAAATAACACTAGCCTTTTGCAAGGAACTAAAGAAGAACAGTAGGCCAACACAGATCTGGTTTTTTAGTCATTAAACACTGAGGGATATACTGAGGAGGGGATCGCAGCACTTTAACTCTTTGAGTCCCAAGAAACACATCATACATTCATAGGTTCCTATTCAGAAGCCCAATGAACGCATGATGTGCCGATTTCATGTTTCTTTTGACTACCCTTGGGCCTGTGATGCTAAACCCCCTGGGACTCAGAGTTAAGAACTACATTAAAAAAAAAAATGTCCTACCCGAAGCCTTGTATCGATATGAGATAAATGACAATGAAGAATCATTAGATTTGTCAGGTTGGCAAAGAAGCAAAGGCGGTCTTCATCTGTAGTCAGTTTTGTCAGGTCTGCACCTTTCAATCTGTTCACATTCTGTATTGCCTGATTGTATTCTGGCAGCTGGACCAGTTTTTCAGCACAACTCAGGTCAAAGATTCCATTAGCATTTTGTTTAATGGAAATATCTGCAAGTGAAAAGAATTTTTTTATTTCTTCAATATTTTCCAAGTATTTTCCCAGAATGAAGAACAAAATAAAGGAAATCTCTTGAAAGATGTTGCAACATCAGTCTGAAGCAACAGGCTAACACATACAACACATGCAGATATGTATTACAAGGTGAGAATACCAGCTCTTTCTCTTACCCGTAGCCTTCAAAAATATTTTAAACATTTATTTGTTAATTACAAGACTGCTAACTTCAGCACCATATATTTCACCTTAAGCTTGGTATCTGCCACTGGAGCAAACAGCCAATTCTCACCAAGTTGTTTTTTTCCTTTTGCAATCTCCTGCAATTCCCTCCAAATCACCCTTATACTATTCATTTGTCTCCATGTAAGATTTTCCCATGTGTCTCCCTCTATTTCTTTTGCTCAGTGTATCCCAGAGAAAAGATTTTTTCCAGTAACAGCGTTATCAGGTTTTCTTATTGTGTGTCCTGTCAAGTACCAGAGTTTCCGCCTCTTATGGATCTCTGGAGGGAGTCGCCATGGCCGAGCAGCTAGACGCTCGCCGCGGATCAGAAGGTCGTGGGTTCGTTCCCTGGTGGAGCTGGACTTTTTCAAAAATGACCTTGGCTCCCAGGTCGATCGAGCCTTGAGTGGGTACCGGGTGCAGTCCCGGGAAAATGAAGGCGGCCGGCGTGATACTGACCACATCACTCATCTTGTGCCGATTGGTCTATAAAAATATAGGTCTAGCCCTATATGCCCTATATGCCTTAAGGCGTGGAAAAGGGTCCTTTACTTTACTTACTTATGGATCACTGGAACCTGTCTAACTTCGCCAACCATGTTCCACAAAAATAATCCTATCAGTCCGGCTATTCTGTGCAAACAGGAGTTAATAAATGCTTTCAGTTTATTAGCCACTGCTGGGGTCTGTCTAGGAAAGTGCTCAAGCCTTCCACTCTAAAGGTTGTTGGTTCATGGTCTTGGAATCATCACTGAAGCTATGGAGTTTGTGTTTTGTGTGATGCTCTTGGCAGGTGGCTTACCATTCTACAGAGACAGATCAAGTCATATGGGAGAACTCAGTGCAATGAAGTCGACCCTCTTGACTTTTAACTTAACAGTTACTCAGTTAAAGATCTCAATTCAACTTAAGTTAAACTTAACAGTTACTAAGTTAGAGACTTTAACTTAACAATTACTAAGAAAAAAAGTAGCAGAAGGCTACAACAGTTAACTTAGTTAAACTTTAAATTTACTAATTTAACAACTTTAACTTAGTAATGGTCTCAGTCAGTTCCCTTGTTTCTGCTAGTAGATTGGCATCAGACAGGGCACCACAGAGAGCAATGTTATACAGATACAGTGGTTGCAGAGCCAGAAGTCGACTACGCAGAAGATGGATTGCAGAAAAATCCGAAACACTGGAAAGAATTTAATACGAAGTGAACAGAAGGGTCAGTTTCAGATATCTCGTCCTGCCCTGACGCCGTGAGGCATTCCAGGGAAAGAGAAAAGAAGAATACAGCAGCAGTGATTCAATGATAGAGTTTAATTCTACTTTGCAAAAGATGAATAAGAACGGCTGTCTCAGCCCAAAGAAAGCTTCAGCTACAAAATCCAACCAGTTAAAGATAAGTCTCAACAGGTAGCTGCAAGAACTGCTTCATGGTCTTTAGGAGAAGTAAGGCCGAAGAAACAAAGAAGAAAACCTACTATACAGCCTCTAATAACTGAAATATGAGCCTGGTCAATATACTTGTATGAACCTACAGTGAAAAGGTGAAAAATGCAATGGTATGGATTTGTAAAAGGATCTAATGACCTCTCAAAAACAATACTGCAGAAGGCAGTTGAGGGGAAGAGGAGAAGAGGCAGACCAAGACAGACCTGGTTACAGAACCTGACTGACTGGACAGGCCTCAGGCATGCAACCATAAAATCCATAGCAACTGACCGCCAAAGATGGAAAGAACTGATCAGACAGTCAGCAGAAACTGGTGACCCAAAGACTCGTAGTGTTACTGGGATGATGATGATGATGATGAGGAAATATTCTTGAGAGATGTTATTGTGATATGGATATCAACTGTCAGCTGGGACCCAGTGAGGGGTTAAGGGGTTAGAAAAGTCCCACTACCCCATAACTAGCACGTTATTTTAAAAAAGTCTCTGCTGACTCCACAATAAAGGCTGGCTACAGTGGACCTCTGCTGCCTTTAGAAATATTACATGGTGAGGTCCCAATCTCTTCCACAGTGCTACTAGTGTCCATCTTCCAAGCTGCTACTAGTGTCCATCTTCCACGGTGCTACTAGTGTCCATCTTCCACGGTGCTACTAGTGTCCATCTTCCACGGTGCTACTAGTGTCCATCTTCCAAGCTGCTACTAGTGTCCATCTTCCAAGCTGCTACTAGTGTCCATCTTCCAAGCTGCTACTAGTGTCCATCTTCCAAGCTGCTACTAGTGTCCATCTTCCAAGCTGCTACTAGTGTCCATCTTCCAAGGTGCTACTAGTGTCCATCTTCCAAGGTGCTACTAGTGCTGCTACTAGTGTCCATCTTCCACGGTGCTACTAGTGTCCATCTTCCACAGTGCTACTAGTGTCCATCTTCCAAGCTGCTACTAGTGTCCATCTTCCAAGCTGCTACTAGTGTCCATCTTCCAAGGTGCTACTAGTGTCCATCTTCCAAGGTGCTACTAGTGTCCATCTTCCAAGGTGCTACTAGTGTCCATCTTCCAAGCTGCTACTAGTGTCCATCTTCCAAGGTGCTACTAGTGTCCATCTTCCACAGTGCAACTAGTGTCCATCTTCCAAGTGCTACTAGGTGTACTAGTGTCCATCTTCCAAGCTGCTACTAGTGTCCATCTTCCAAGCTGCTACAGGTGTCCATCTTCCAAGCTGCTACTAGTGTCCATCTTTCAAGCTGCTACTAGTGTCCATCTTCCAAGCTGCTACTAGTGTCCATCTTTCCAAGCTGCTAGTAGTCCATCTTTCAAGCTGCTACTAGTGTCCATCTTCCAAGCTGCTACTAGTGTCCATCTTCCAAGCTGCTACTAGTGTCCATCTTCCAAGCTGCTACTAGTGTCCATCTTCCAAGCTGCTACTAGTGTCCATCTTCCAAGCTGCTACTAGTGTCCATCTTCCAAGCTGCTACTAGTGTCCATCTTCCAAGCTGCTACTAGTGTCCATCTTCCAAGGTGCTATTAGTGTCCATCTTCCAAGCTGCTACTAGTGTCCATCTTCCAAGCTGCTACTAGTGTCCATCTTCCACGGTGCTACTAGTGTCCATCTTCCAAGGTGCTACTAGTGTCCATCTTCCAAGCTGCTACTAGTGTCCATCTTCCAAGGTGCTACTAGTGTCCATCTTCCAAGGTGCTACTAGTGTCCATCTTCCACAGTGCAACTAGTGTCCATCTTCCACGGTGCTACTAGTGTCCATCTTCCAAGGTGCTACTAGTGTCCATCTTCCAAGGTGCTACTAGTGTCCATCTTCCAAGCTGCTACTAGTGTCCATCTTCCAAGGTGCTATTAGTGTCCATCTTCCACGGTGCAATGATGTCCATCTTCCACGGTGCAACGGTGTCCATCTTCCACGGTGCAATGATGTCCATCTTCCAAGGTGCAATGATGTCCATCTTCCACGGTGCAACGGTGTCCATCTTCCAAGGTGCAATGATGTCCATCTTCCAAGGTGCAATGATGTCCATCTTCCAAGGTGCAATGATGTCCATCTTCCACGGTGCAACTAGTGTATGACTGCCTGGAAATGAATGAATTTTAGAAAAGGTGATTAATTAGGGACCTGCTGAAATTGGAAGCTATGAGCCAAAATGGCGCATATATTGCAGCACAGCTATAGATCACAAAACAACATGCCTACTGCCCTTTTACGGGTGAACACAGATGAAGAAGAAGAGAAGGAGAAGAAGAAGCAGGAGGAAAAGGAGTAGAAGAAGGAGAAGAGAGAAGAAGAGAGAAGAAGAAGAAGGAGAAGGAAGAGGAGGAGAAGAAGAAGAAGAAGAAGAAGGAGGAGAGAGAGGAAGAAAAGAAGATCTGACCTTCCATAAGCTTGATCAGGTTGCTTAGCACAGATGTGACAATTTTCTCAGGGTTATTCAGACTTTCTGATTGGATGTTCAATACCGAACTTTTTTCTGGAAGTTCTGATTGGCTCTCGTTAGCTGGCGTTTGTATATTATACACTCTGGTTCCTGGCATTCTCACAGATACATCTGAAAAAAAAAAAAAATTTTGTTTTAAAACATGGTCTTACACAACAATGAAAACAAGAAAGAGTCAGATGGGGGAAGGAGTGAGCAAAAAATATCCCTCAATTCTGTTCTCATAAATCTTTCCTGCTGCGATACATTTCATTTCAATTTTTCACAATTAACAATGTTAAGTAAAGGGCCCACAGGGAACACGAAACTAGATTCCTATTTGTATAAATTTTATTTTCATAGACCAATTGGCACCGGTGGGTAATGTGGTCAACATACCACCATCTGCCTTTACTTCCCAGGACTTGACCGGTATCCATTTAAAACTGAGTTGACTTGGGAGCCAAGGTAATTTCTGGAAAAAAAATTAGGCGTCGTCCAAAATTAAACCCACAAAATCGGATCCACAGATGAGGATCTAGTGGCTACAGTGTCCAGAAGACTGGAGCATTTATGCACGCTAGCCCAGTTTGTTAAACCTGACTGCGCCAGGACCAGGGGAAAAACTCTTTGTGGTCCGGGTTCACGCCCAGGGTTGGCAGAAAAGCTGCATATCCCCCAGATTTGCGGTATCTATCATGGAATCAAAGCCGAAGGGTTGCGATATCCGAGCCAAAGGGTTTACATACTGGATCGAAGCGTTATATGCATTTGACTACAGCAATACACCAACAGTGAGAAGAGACAAACTCACCAGCGCCACACTCTGGGACTGCGGGGGGATGTTTGCTGGGAATCTTTGGGCAACAACTGTGTACGATTGTGTGAGTCAGGTTGAGGCTCAGTTTTGCTGCCACAGCCTCCAGTCTGCAGACGACAAGTCAAGATACACCATCATTACATGATTATTCAAGATACACCATCATTACATCATTTTTCAAGATACATCATCATTACAACATTTTTCAAGATACACCATCATTACATCATTTTTCAAGATACACCGTTCTGGTTAGTTGTCCATTGTAGACTTTGGTCTTGTTCTAGACTAGAACTGGAGTTTTGCATGCAAATCAGTTTTTACAGGTGTGGCTTATATGTATGCATACTGTTGGTTCCTCACCTCTCATAAAGATGCACTATGACTCTGAAGGAAACATCCCCAACTGATCACCTTGTATGAGATGCTTGTAAGGGAGGCAGTTAGTCTACCCTTTTCCCACCAAAAAAAGGTTCTAGAAACAGTGGAAATACAATTCTAGCCTGCCGAGTTTGTGGTGACAGCACTAGCCATGCAGCATTAATTCCTTGGACTAAAAGACCTAACCCCCCCCCCCCCCCCCCCCCCCAAGTGGCAAATAAAGGCAGCAATGGAAGTTGTGTTGTTTTGGCAGTCAAGAGGTTTCTTTCATCCTTTCTCTTGATGCAGTCTGCCCACAAATAACACTGTCTACTCAAAAATAATGTCTTCCCACAAGTACCACTGTCTTCCGACAAGTACCACTGTCTTCCGACAAGTACCACTGCCTTCCCACAAGTACCACTGCCTTCCCACAAGTACCACTGCCTTCCCACAAGTACCACTGCCTTCCCACAAGTACCACTGCCTTCCCACAAGTACCACTGTCTTCCCACAACTACAACTGTCTTCCCACAAGTACCCCCTCATTTATTTACCTCATTACCTTTTATTCTGAGACATTTCCAAGGATTTCAAAAAGTGTCTAGTAATCATTTTTAACCTTTTCACCTTGAGAAACAGCACAGCTGACACTTCCTGTTAATACCATAAAAAGCCAGTTTTCTGACTCTATAGAGAGAGATATTTACGAGATGTCTGGCCAACAGAATTAATTGTCTGTGTAAGCGTTTAGCATGACAGGGGATGACTACATTTACTAAAAACAGCAATTGGGGGGAACTCATTTTTAAAAAATGACTTTAAAAAAAAAAAACTTCTACATCTTTCGGGGACTGAGTGGTCTCGAGGCATGGTGTCCGCCTAGCGTGCTGTCTTCTGGCACAGGTGAAGGCTAAGGTTTTTTAATGTGGACTTCAGGTAATTTCCACCGGTCTCTGGGTAGTAAGATTGGATGCCAGTGTGTATTGTTGCACATGTAAAAAAATCCCTTGGCAGTTGAAAATTAAAAAAAAAAAGTAGCCCAACAGGGCTGCCGGGCAAATGTTTGGAGTTGAAAATCACACAAAGTAGTTGAGAATCCTCACCAGTGCTGAGAAGTTTGTGCACTGTGCTGAAATTCTTTGGACTCGGGCTTAAGTTAGAAGTAGAACAGAGCATTTATGGGTTACTATCCTTGTGAAATGACGTTGATCCGTTTATCAAACTAAACCAAACTTCTATGTCTGTTTCCCTATCAGTTACAGTGGCTATCAGTTAACAAGGTCAAGTAAGTGTCACACTATAAATAGTTTACAAGTCACAAGGGATGTAATCTAGTTGATTCCAGGCCATATTCATTTGTGTTGATTACTCCCCTTGCAGCTAAAACAAAATTTAATTAAAAGGAAAGACAATCATTACCTGGCAGGGGGCATTTTCTTGACAAACATCAGACGTCCCAGAATACTAATTGGCCCATCGTTCAAAACTTTGAAGTAGTTACTGGCCACTTCTGCTTGACAAAAAATTCAGCTGCCATTATTATTGAGATTAACTTCAAGTAGGAATCATTTTTTCTCTGACAATCAACTGTCTTCCACTTCCGCCCTTCATCACCTCATGGAGCAAAGATCCTTAACTAACGCATTATGCCAGTCCTTCCAATCCTCCCACTTCTGCCTTGTGTCCCATACAGAGCACAAACCGCTAACTAACTCATGCCAATTCAGCCCCAAAGTTTTCTTTTATTCTGTATCCCACAATATAAAGCACATATCCTCCCCCCCCCACCCCCCACCCCCCACTCACGTAAATTCTACTAATCCTTTTTCTAACCTTATGTTGTGACTCTTGTTATGAAGAAAGATTTCGTTCTTGTAGCTGTGTTGGATTTTGTTGTGATTAAAGATCTGTCTTGTGACTGAGTGTTGGACTTTGTTGTGATCAAAGATTTAGGTAACGTGACTGAGGGTTATGATTTTGTTGTCATCAAAGATTTAGGCAATGTGACTGAGCGTTGTGATTTTGTTGTGATTAGAGATTCAGTAATATGACTAAGTGTTCTTATTTTCTTGTTACAAAAGACTTAGACAATGTGACTAAGTATTGTGATTTTGTTGTGATCAAAGATTTAGAAAACTGAGTGTTGTGATTTGGTTGTGCTTAAAGATTCAGGATTGTGCCTGAATGTTGGATACTGCGAGAACTGTATCTGTCTATATTGCTTTATAAAATGAGGAACATTTTGTGCAATAAATCCATGTTATTGGAGGTTAGGAAAAGAATTCTCACAAGCTGTATACAGCCAGTTTTAACATACATCTGTGAATCCTGGACAATTAATAAACAAGCCAAACAATTTCTTGGGGCCTCTGAGATGTGGTGATACAGAAAAATCCTTGGAATTCTTTGGACAGCCAAAGGCTTGAAGGCAACTTATCACATTATAAACCCACTAGAATATTTCTCTCCAACAAGTTCTTACCTGTACTCTTGCCCTCACACTCGGCTACCAGGAAGGACATCTCTTTAACATGCTCATAGAGACTGAGCAGGAAATTCTTCACTGGTGGGCTGCTCACCTTATTTGTCTTCCTGTGGGAGCATACGTTTCAGTGTCAAAAATATGCACAAAGCCTTATTTTCCAGGGATTTCATTTTTTTTTTTTTTGCAGATGAAAAAAAAATCTACATTTATTCATGCTCAAAAATCTACATTTATTTATGCGAAAAAAATCTACATTTATTCATGCACACAAGTTTTTGCCTTATGCTCTGAAAGTGTGGGTTGGTCAATTTTTATAGTGATATTTGCAAGTCTGCACTAGAGCTACATAGTTTGTTGTGTCTAGGGATTTGGACTCTTGTGTCCAAGGTTGTGGATTTCGTTGTGTCCAAGATTTTGGGCTTTGTTGTGACTTGGGTGTGGACTTTGTTATGACTGGGGCTGGTATATTTGCTAAACCATTACCTTTTAATTATAATTCTATATATATATTGAACAGCCTTAAAAGTCTATGGTTAAGAATTCTGAGAGCATGCATCTTCCCTGTGGCTACATACGGATGTGAGTCGTGGACTATCTCTCAGTCCTTAAGAAAGAGAATAGGGGCTTTTGAGCTGAAATGCTATAGAAAGATTCTCAGAATATCTTTGACAAAGAAGATGAGAAATATTGACATCTTAAAAGATCTGAACATCAAGGAAGATTGGCTAATAAACAGCATCCTTTCTCGAAAGTTGAAATATTTTGGTCATATCAAGCGCCACGACGGATTGGAAAAAATTATAGCAGAAGGCATGGTACAAGAAAGGAGGGGCAGAGGCCGACCGACACGAAGATGGGCACAGGATATAAGTGACTCTTGAGTGTGAAAGTTCATGAGGCGGGAGAACTGGCAAGAGACCGAGTTTCTTACAGGCAGACTGTGATGAGAGCGACGTTCTGCAAAGGACCTGCTACATGATGATGATAATATATATATAAAATTATATGGCGGACGCCATGCCTCGAGACCACGCAGCCCTCTGGTAGAGGATCCAAACATGCACTGAGGCAGAATTTGTTTAGAACCAACCCTGGCTCTCAGGTTGACCCAGCCTAAAAACAGATACCAGGTAGGTTTAGGTGGCTGGCATGATGCTGACCACCCACCATTGAGTGTCTTCTTCTTCAGCATTCCGAGCCCTTGAGGTTCACTGCGGCAGATATCAACCACCTCTATTCATCTCTCTGGTTGGCTTTCTCTTTCCAGTTGGTGACAAAAGTGTTTGCAGGTCTGTCTGGATATTATCTCTCCATATTCTTCTTGGTCTGCCTCGGGTCTTCGACCATTCATCTCCCATATTCTTGGATATCTGTTTACCGCTGGCATAGCTCTCAGGGTCATTGAGAAACACAAGCTCCCCTATCGAGTGTCTACTGCTCTGTAAAAAATACAAGCCTAGCATAGGCTGAGTAACAGTCACGCCCCGCCACTGAGCCAGGCATAAAGGACACAAGAAGAAAGAAAGAAATATGAACGAGAAGTTAGTACAACCAACAACTTACCCTAGAAGAATGTGTGTCAAGCCATCAGCTGGGACATACTTCTCCATAACATACATCAGCTGTTTGACGGCCATGTGTAGTGGGTTCTGATCAGTCTGTTGTCGGTTATGGGTTCGCGACCCGGCTCCACCACTCTGACTGGTAACGCTCCCAGACATGCTGCCTGATGCTAGAGAATTACCAGATATCATTTCAAAACATTTTTTACATTTTAAGGTCACCAAAAATCTGGAAAATTCTAACTGGCAGATGATGACTGGGTTATCTTAAACAAAAGATCATCATATAAAAACTAAAGTAAAGGGCCCTTTTCCTGCCAAAGGCCTTTAATAACATACAAGCAGATCTCGACACATTGACAACATGAGGAAGCTTCATATGAAAACCTTAAAGGTGTGACAGACATTACAATAGCCATGCCACTGTCTTGTAGCCTGTCAATATTGTTGTTAAGGATGTCAAGAGTGTTGAATAGATGAACACAGTGATATCATAATGGCAGTTTAAAGATGGTCACCCCACTTCTGACATGCATCAAAGAGCAGCAGTGTGATGTTATTTTTTTTTTAAAATAAGTGAAAGTAAAGTAAGTAAGGACCATTTTCAATGCCTTTAGGCGTATAGGGCATATAGGGCTAGACCTATATTTTATAGACCAATCGGCACAAGATTGGTAATGTGGTAAACATTACACCATTCGACTTTACTTCCTGGGACTGCACCCGGTACCCACTCAAGGCTAAGTCGACCTGGGAGCCACGATGATTTTTGAAAAAAAAAAAAGTCCGGCTCCGCCAGGGAGCAATCCCACGACCTTCTGATCCACAGGCGAGGGTCTAGCAGCACCACCATGGCAACTCCCCAAATAAGTGAAAGGGCGACACATACAGAAATTCACCAGCAAATGAAGGTTTAGTATGGTGATGAATGCCTGTCAGTGGTGCAAGTGCATTAGTGCAGTAGGAGGTATTCAAATAGCTGCAATTGACTCTAGGATCACCACTCAGTGCGTTTGATCCAGTCATCAACAGTCAGACACAGAAGTAACACTGTTTTGAAACTTGTTTAACACTCTTGACATCCTTAGAAATAAAAGTGACAGGTTACAAGACAATGGCATGGTTTTTGCAATTAATACCACACTTCTAAGGTTTTCATTTGAAGTCTCCATGTATTAAGAGATATGCAATAATGACTGGCAACAACAGGTACACAACGGCTTTTGTGGTTTGTTTTAGCTGCAACTCACAGACACTGTTGTCCGTATCTCTTGATGTTATCTTCCCACCCATATATATGATGTGCCTAGATTTCAAGTAGTTTGACTATGGAGGTGATGACGTCATAAATATTCCCCAAACTGTTCCACCCTGCCAGCCCAAACGATCAATTCCATTTTGAAAACCGCCTAATGCATAAAGAACATGGGAGGTCACCCAAAGAAATTCATGGAAAATTTACGTTAGGCATTACGGAACTATGTCCCCTAAATAAACATAAAGAAATGAATGGACTAACGGCTTCAACTAAATTTATCGTAAAGGTGCAATTTTAACATGGCGGAGAGTGTCTAAAGTTACAATCGCAGTGTAAACGTCGGCAAATTGCATAATGTGCGATCGTGGTAGTCAATGGGCTAGTGGGGGTTTCTTTCTTTTTCTTTTTTTTTTAAATAGCTTTATTTCCAGAAATGTCTGTCATTTTTTTCCCCCCACTGGCCAAGAGTCAAGTAAATGTCACATTATAATTAGTTTACAAGCCCCAAGAGATGCAAAGCAGTTGATTCTATACTGCAGTCATTTTTACTGACTACCTACCTTACTCTTATAGAGTAATGTTTTCATGTAATTTGTTCATGTTTTGTATGGCAAACTGATTTTATGCCAATTTTTTTTTGTTAAAAAAAATAAAATGGTAATTTTTCTAAGGGCTTTTTTTTTGTTGTTGAAATTACGGGAGCCTGAATTTGGTTTTTCCCCTAGATCACCAGGGTGAAAGGGTTAATGGCAAAAGTTAAAGAAGGCGATGATAATGACAATGATGACGAAAAATATTAGAAGCTTACTGCTGCCTGACAAGCTTCCCCTTGGAGATGGAGATTGCGAAGAAGCTGGGTCATCTGCCACAATATCCAAGTGATGCTCCAAGGAAAGACCTGCCAACACCTGCAGCACATGGTCCACCGCCCGTCGGAGTTCTGCTACAGTTATATCCATACTGCGCAGGCTTTCCACCTGGAGTGATGAGTAAGCAGAATGAAAGTAATGCTGGAGACCCACCTTGACAGCCGTGGAAGTGTAAACAGTTCGTGGACCTGGAGATGAAGGCTCGCTTTCCCCTGAGTGAATCAAATCATACAAATTCCATATCAGTTCACTGCAGCCCATCACGCCCTGCAAAGAGGACTTGAGCTTCTTTGTCCATACTGTGAATGGGGAGGTAACAGAAGCAGACGGCAAATCCGGTGACTGAGATGGATGCGTTTCTGAAGGTGAATCGTCTAGACGATCACCTGCCAAAGTCATGTGATCCTTGTGTCGGGGATCGTGTTTCAAAAGTTTTGTTTTTGTTTTAATGATGTCTAACATATTAGAACAGGCATCCCAAGTCCGACAGCAAGTGCATAAGAGATCTAACAAAAGGGCTGAAGAAGGGTCAAGGTTAAACACAGCGGAAAATTGTTCTCTTGTAGAAGACGACCTTGGCTTTGGCACAGGTGGTACACAAGGATTGGCTAGTAGGTCTTCGACGATGTTGGACAAATATGCTGTTGCCACTCCTACAGCTGCTGCTTTGTTGAGAGCCGTGATGCTTCTTTTGCCAACTTTGGTCTGAACTTGAGAAGGTTCTCTCACTTCTGGCTCCAGATCCCAGATTTTTCCAGAGCTGGTCTGGTAGACTTCTGCAAAGCTGACTTCACAGGTTTCTGCCGTTTTCTCTGTCAGTTTGAAAAGCTGTACGGGAGAAAAACAATGAAAAAAAATTATCTTCACTCCCTGAATGTCAATGGAAGAAGAATGCAAGAGAAACATTTCTAAAGTATCTTGTCGTAAACAGAATCATTGGGGACCCTCTTCATCAAAGGATACAAATGGAGATGGCATGAGGTGCCCAGTGGACAAAGCTGGCCATCATTAAAAATAAAAAACATTAACGAGTTAAGAACTAACATCACAGCACTCAGGATATTCCCATAAGTGATCTGTCCCCATCTTCAGCAGCAAATGCAGAGTTCCAATTCCAACAGTACCAGTAACAGTCTGATTGTATTTCTGCCTCACCCCTCCCCTGAGTGTTCAGCACCGACCAGATCCTCTGGTCATTCCTCGCCCTACCAATCTGTTTAGAATTTGTTCCCCCTTACTGTTAACTCACTCCCAAAGGGTCCTTACAGTGTGCAGCAATTTACCACAAGGGGTGCAGAACCAGCCAGTTTATTTGCCTGTTCATTTCTCAACACACTGACATGCCTGGAGAAAATTTCCAAAGGATGCCAACTATCCAGGAAACAATCTCCAGCTACCTGTTTTAATGTTAGACTTTTCTGGAAACCAAGGTTATCAACAACAACAACAACAACAATGAAATTACTCCATCATAACAAATACAAAATAAATATGGCTAAAACAATGTACTCAAGCCCAGGTGAGACAATACCCATTAGAATAAAAGAGATCACAGCACTAGAATGCATACATAAGTGCTTGTCTCACCCAGAGGTAGATTTTAAAAAGACAGAAATAAACCTATACCTAAAGATAAACTACTATAATTTAAACTATGAATTAATAAAGTAACAGAAAGTATTGTGAACGGCACTCATAGAAGAAAGTAGAAAGATAGAAGAACACACTAGACAACATAAAAATCGAAAGCTATAGTTACTCAACCAGGCACCCCAATGTATCTTAGTGCACTTGTATTCATGGCGAGGCGCAGACGCTGTCTGGAGGTGACAGGTTCAATTACCGGCACGGTAACTATAGCTTTCGATTTTTATGTTGTCTAGTGTGTTCTTCTATCTTTCTACTTTCTTCTATGAGTGCCGTTCACAATACTTTCTGTTACTTGATTAATTCATAATATTTAACGGCCTCAAATGGTTCCCCCCTCTGTTTATTTATAGGTATAATTTAAACTCAAGAGATAATGCAAACAAAACTCTTTTCCTGTCATAGCCTTGTAATATTTTGTTGAAACGAATGCCTAAATTATAAATGGGCAGACATCATCAAGACATGCTAATGGTTCAATGTTAACAGAATGAAGGCACGAGCTGTAATTACTAGAGATCTTCCCATTGTGGGTTTTGGGGCCCATTTTGTTGTTGGGGAAAGGGGGTGGATGAACAGACCCACTGCTTCTTGCATCAAGTCAGATCTTTGTTCCCCCATAACCCCCTCCCCCAAAGACCTTGGTTGCTAGATTGTCCCAGCCTAAAATGAGTACCATGTAATGTCCTGGGTAGTAAAGAACCATGTCGTAAGAGTCAACTAATTGGGGACTCCCTTCGAAGTCCGAGTCATCTGCCTCAGAGGCAAGTAACCAACAATTTGCATATAAATGAGTCATAACTGTAAAACAGATGTGTACGCAACACTCAGGTTCTGGAACAAGACTTAACTTCAGAGGTCGACGAACAAAAAAGAACTTTCCACCAGAGTTTACAGCCAGTGAATGTAAAGAAGAAGAAGAAATGTTTGCTGAAACTGGATGTGTTGGGTCGAAAGACAACCTAGTTGCAAACCCCAACACGGGCCACTATTTTAAGCGTGGGCGAAGAAGAAGAACTGTAGATTGGTTACTACCTAACTCAATCATGGAATAAAATCAAGATGATGATGAAGCAGGTGACAAATGGCACTGAGTGATGGATGATGAACATCCATTCTGAGTCATCATCAATTTCCACTTCTGCCGTTAAGTACCGCGGGGAGGAACAGTTTGTGATCCATTGCTTGATGGGCAGCAATAGCTACTTTCATTCCGTGTTGATGTAGAACCTCTTTAATGTCATCAATCCACATTTTCATATGGAAACCTCTTGCTCTCACTTCAGATCTTTTCATGTGTAGTAGTGTCTGCATTATCATTTATAAATGTGTTTTGGTAGTTAAGTTGGCAGCTTTTCTTTGGTATTTGATTTCACTTTGATTTATACGTTCAATAACTATCCATAAACATATTTTTTGTGAGAAAAAGACCACAACTGTCAACCTTACTTTCATGACCTCGGCAGCCTGGGAAGGGTTGTTTCTGATCAAGCTGAAGACCAGTAAACTTTCGGGGCTGGCCATCATCCTGGACATAATGTTGGAATGTGACAAGACTGTGTGTGACCTAGACAACTTGCTCTGGACACCCGGCAGATAGGTGTCCATATCTGACAGGAGACAAATACTCTGTTATTGAAGCAATATTCTCTGTCTGTGTATGTGTGTTTATGAGATCGTAATTTCCCCCAATTACATGGCGGGTTAAAATGTGACAAAATGACGTGTGTCCGGGTCAACTTACTGTAGATGCCAGGCAGATAAATGTTTTTACTAGACCAGAGACGAATGCACCATTACCGCAGCAACAATGTCTTAGTGTGCATGCATGTGTGTGTAGTACAGGATGGTGATTTGTCACAATTACATGACAGATTAGAATATAACAAGGCTGTGTGACCTGGAAACTTGCTTTGGATACTAGGTATACCTGTTCAACATCTGACCAGAGACAAATGCATTGTTTCTTTGCCCCCCTCCCCCGTCTCTTTCTCTCTCTCTCTGCTGTGTGAAAGATGGGAGCTTGGAAGGGTCGAATGTAAGACAGGCTTGCGTGCCTAATTTGTAAACCTTTGAAAATAAAGTTCGTTTGTTCTCTTTCTCTCTCTCTCTCTCTCTCTCTCTCTCTCTCTCTCTCTCTCTCTCTATATATATATATATATATATATATATATATATATATATATATATATATATATATATATATATATATATATATATATATATATATATATATACCTGGTATGTATATTGTTATGTGAATATAAATGCTTTAAAAAAAAATACAATTGTGGTACAAAAGATTAATGTTGGAAAGGACCACATGTAAGATAGGCAGGCTTGCCCAATTTGTTCTTCTTCTCCTACACTTCCTCTTTTACCGCTGTGAGTGTCGAGGGAGATATAAGGTTCTGTTTCTAGCTCTTCTGGCTGCCTCGACCATAGGCACATCGTGCTGTTGTAGAGTTTCTCTGATGTTATCCTTCCATCTTGTTCTTGGTCTACCAAGTGCTCTACGTCCTTTTTCTCTTTCCATGTATGCTTTGTATGGTATGGTGTCACAAGGCATTCTCTCTAAGTGGGCAAACCATTTCACTTGCTGTCTTTGTATGTAATCCAGAATTGGTTCTGTGCCGACTTCTTCTCTTATGATCTCATTCCTGATCTTATCTCTTATGGTCACTCCTACAGCCCTTCTCAGACATCTCATTTCCGTGGTTACTAATTTTCTTTTATGGTTTGTTGTGAGTGACCATGTCTGGCACTGGTAGCACAGAGTGGGAATAAATAATTTTGTTACCCTCTGAAAATAAAGTTTGCTTGTTCATTCATTTTCTCCGTCTCTGCCTTTCTCTCTGTGTGAATATTTATATGCTGCAGTGATTTCAAACACAAGCATGTGATGGAAAGTCACACTAAATGAAAAGACTTTATAACGTTAAATGCCCAGCTACATTCTTCACTGCCTGCCCTTCTCATGAGAAGCAGCTGCACCACTTTTGTAAGACTGAGATCAACCCAGAACTGAACAGGTTTTAAAAAAGAACAAACATTCTACTACTACTGAAGAAACAACTGTCTCACTGTGTATTTATAACTTTTTAGGGCACTGTAGGACATAGAGTCTTGAGACTGAGGATTTAGGGCCACATTGCTAGTGCAGTCACCTTGAACTGTTCTGGCAAGGATTTTATTTCTGTCCCCTAACAAAAACAATCCACCACCCTTCTGGGGATCGAACCTGGGTCCCAAGTTTGAGAGCCCTGCATCAATGTCTGTCAGTGCAAAGGGAAGTTAACTCTCAGGCACCGCCTTCAAGGGTTCAGTTAAAAAAAAAAGGAAAGTTAGGGGTATTACAAGTTCTGGAACAAGACAAGTCGAGAAGTGGATGAACAACCAGAATTTTCTCGCCTGAGATTACAGCCAGTGAACATGAAGAAAAAGAAGATGCATATACATAAGGTCAAGGTGCAGCTTAGCTTGTAATAAAGGTACAAGCTTTAATTACTGGAGATCATCCTTGTATGGGTTCCAAGGTCTAGTGTGCACTACAAGGGGACCTTAACTCAGACACTGTCTTCAAGGGTTCAATGTAAAGAAAACTGACAAAAACAGAAAGTTGGTCAGCTTTACAAGAATATAATCTTTTTCTTTTTATAGTCTTTAATAGGCATAATGGCTAGGGCAACTAGGACAACAAGCATACATATGAAGTGCTCTCACAGAAAAACAGTCGCCATGGCCTAGCGGCTAGACGCACGCCGTGGATCAGAAGGTCGTGGGTTCGCTCCCTGGCGGAGCCGGACTTTTTTTAAAAAATGACCTTGGCTCCCAGGTCGACCCAGCCTTGAGTGGGTACCGGGTGCAGTCCCGGGAAGTAAAGGCGGCTGGCGTGATGATGCCCACATCACCCATCTTGTGCCGTTGGTCTATAAAAAATATAGGTCTAGCCCTATATGCCCTATACGCCTAAAGGGGTGGAAAAGGGTCCTTTACTTTTTTACTCGCAGAAAAACACAACACAAGGGCAGAAGACCTTGCAGGTAATTTCACACTAAGAAGTGGAACTTCTAGGGACAGAACAACCATAACTAATGCTATCAGAGAGAGACAAGGCAAGCTGAAGACCTCAGATATAAAGATACTGCTTGTTCTTTGACACAGACGCAAAGTCCAGATATATTAGTCTGAGCAGCATGGCATTAAAAACATCCAAGAGCTCAAAGTTGTTATATCAAACCAATATAGAACAGGACTTGTCAGTTTAAATACACTTAACAGAAGATAGGAACACTTAAGGGTATGTCCAACGTTTACTGAAGATGATCCTACAATGAACAATTCTCTCATAGAAAGAGCTGCAAGCTACAGCTGGGTATTCAACCAAAGAACATTAATAATGTCTGTCTGTACACATAACAGACTGGCATCATGACAGGGGACAACATTTGAATCAGAAATGGCTGACAGTGCATGAGATGTAAGGCTATAAACAGACTTCTTTTTCTTCTTTATGTTTGCCAGCAGAATGTTCACACCCACTGCATCAAGCGCTTTTTAGTGAAAAGGGAGACAGACTGAAGAGGGGGAAATCGTGGCTAGGTCGGGCAGAAGATGTTATTAGGCAAATATGCAGCCTAACCGACATCATACCTGGTGCAGAATGGATACCTGTGCCTCAGGCGTTTATTTGTACATTTTCCTGTATTGTCACACTCATCAGGCGATGTAGAGAAGAGAATCCTGTTGCTGTTAATGCAGAGGTCAACGCTCTCATCGGTGAAAATTCAGACGAAGCAGATGCAATAATCTATACAGACGGATCCGTTATACGCCAAAGAAGAAGCGCATGGGCATTTACAGCATGCTCAGCGGGCAGAACAGTCAAAGAAGCCAACGGCGCCTTCTCCATGACAACCAGCAGCATGACGATGGAGGTGATGGCAGTGACACAAGCGCTTGCCTGGCTTGAAACACAAAAATACACCCGCGTGTGTATACTCAGTGATTCAATGAGTATGATCCGGAGGGTTCAGGCAGGTTCAGTGCGAAGACAATGGCTTGAATCATTACAGAAGTCCACTGTCCGTGGAGTCACCTTTATTTTTGTTCCGGGACACGCAGGCGTGGATGGAAATGAAAGAGCTGACAGGTTGGCTGGATCCGCTATCACTACCGACGGTCAGCCTATGGATCATGCTGATATTATCAATGCCCTCAGAGAAATGGGAAGGATAGACGACTTTGGTGGCAGTGAATCCACATCACTCGCCAGAATGGCAGACTTGGGAATTAAGATCGGCACAGCAAAAAACGAGACGCACACCAGCTACGCCAGAAGACTTGTTAATCAACATAGAACTGGTACTATTAGCCATCGGACGTTGGGGTTCATACTGAGGGGAGGATCTGAGCACCTATGGACATGTCCGGAGTGCAATGAGGATAACCCAACTAACTAACTAACTAACTAACTAAATGTTCTGGTTGTTCATCCACTTCTGGACTTCGGTACTGTTCCAGAACTTGACTTTTGCATGCACTTACATTTTACAGACCTGCTTAGCTGTATGCAGACTATTTGTTACTTATCTCTCAGGCAGATGCTCTTCAACTTCAAAGGAACCACCTCTAATTATTCATTGTTAATTTAAGCAAACAATCTCCATTCTTGTAAGGACATCTTCATCGCACATCAGACATGACCATAAGTGCTCCGATCTCCTCCTGAATGTGTCTCCAAGTGTGTTTAAGCAAACAATTTCCATTCTTGTAAGGACATCTTCATCGCACATCAGACATGACCATAAGTGCTCCGATCTCCTCCTGAATGTGTCTCCAAGTGTGTTTAAGCAAACAATTTCCATTCTTGTAAGGGCATCTTCATGGCACATCGGACATGACCATAAATGCTCCGATCTCCTCCTGCGTATGTCTCCAAGTGTGTTTCCGCAAACAATTTCCATTCTTGTAAGGGCAGCAGTGTGTTTATTCTTGTGTCACCCACAATGTGTTCCAGAAACCCACACGGGCTGGAAAGACATGATTACCAAAATCTCAGAGCATGGACTATAGAAGAAGTTGCTTCAAAAGTTACCTCATGGTGCTCACACTTACCTGCACTGACCGCACTTCCTTCGCAGACTGGCAGGGCATTGATGTCATTGTCTGCGACAAACACTTGTTCTGGTAAAATTTGAAAAGGCTGTCGAGGAAATGCTTCATGGGCTATTAGCTGAAACCGCCACCAGGCTTCATGTACAGCTTGCGTCAGCTTAGTAATCCTCTTTGGCAGAGACTCTGGTAAGATGCTTGTTGGTATATGCACCTGCAGGATGGGTTCTAGGTTCAGATCCACACTGGGCACACTAGGCTGTTTAGATTTTGGAGCACGGAAGATGTCCCGTTTAGCCAAATCAAATGTTTTACCAGATAAGGCAAATTTTGCAATGTTAAGATCAGAAAGAGCATCCTTCAGCAAGTGTAGAATATCCCTGACCACATACTCATTACACAGGAAGCCCACAATCGTGTCTGGAGCAGGTTCGGAGTCCAGCCTTTTTCTTTTTTTCCTGGGTTTCCTGGCCAGCTGTACACTTTCTCTATGTGCCTGTTTGAAGATTTCTAAAACAGGTTTCTTAAACTCAGATGCTCTATTCTGAATCTCAGGGCTGGCAGTAAAGTAAGAAGACTGTGGGGGTTCAGAAAAAGCCACAGAGTCATTATGCTTTTGATAAGGATCAATATAAGGCATATCATAATCAAGACTGGCTCCTCTGGATCTCTCATGAACTACTCCTGTTGTTGGAGATGGTGGTGATCTGTCTCCTGGCTTTGCTTCACTTTTGGATTGTTCTAACAATTGTTCATCTTGGGGAGAATCTTCTTCTGACAGGATGGAACTTTCAAGAGGCAGATTATCAGAACTGCCCAGTTTACTACCTTCATTATCATCACTAGGCTCTAACTCTGCAAAACCATTTGGATCACAAATATCCTCGTGGGTGACGAAGAGAAGAGAGAAGATATTCTCCATCACCTCCAGTCTGTAGTTAAGAGGCTGCAGCTGGGCAAGATGATCACGTGTCTCCTTCAACCTCATGGTCACCATCTGCTCATACAGCTGGACAAACTGCTGAGAGTCCTCTTTCTGCTTGGCCCTCTCGGACTCACTAGGACAAGCCTCTGCTCCATTGGAAGAATCCTCACCTTCGCTGGAACTGACTGACTGCTCGGTGGTGAAATTCTTATGCAGCTTTCTAGCCCTGAGTGACCTTCTCACCTGAACTGGATTCATGAGATCGTGTTCAAAGTTGTTCACACAAAACATCACAGCATCCATGACGTTCTTTATAGCACAGTAGCTTCTGTAGATGGCGATGTCCTTCTGCTGTTCAATGTTGATTGGTTCCGGAGAACTTCCCGCAGGTTTACAATCATCCTGGAAGGTAACTGCTTTCTTTTTACTGCCTTTCTCTGCAACAACATGTTTAAACAAATTTGATCACATAATAGAAACATTCTGGTTTTTTTTTGTAACCCTGAAATTCTAAAATTTTTAATAATAAAATGCTATTCTTAATTTGCACATTCCATAAATCTACAATAATAAAAAAGCAGAACACAATAAGACATTAAACTGATGCCTCTCAGAAAGAAATCACATTTCTGTCTGGCCAGCAAAAAATTCTAATAAAACTTCTACACCATTATGCTATCAGTGCCGAAAGTGCCAGTGATGACAGAAAATCTTCTAATAAAACTTTTAATTACCAAAAAATTTGATAAAAAATAAAAATGCGGCATTGCTAAAATTGTAAAAAACTAATTTTCAAATAATTATAGATGCTGTATTGTCAATATTGTCTATACTGTAAATTGCTAATTTATCACAGCTGTTGATGCGTCATGACGGAAGCATTTTCTGTACACGTCTTGCATTAGGAATTTCAAAAACAACTTACTTTTACTAGCAGATATGCTGGTCAGAAGTTGCAGCACCTCAGAGTGGTCAAGGGAGGCCAAGCTTGTGGACTGGTGTAACATATACAGCACTGAGTGAGTCTCCAAACCCTGAAGCAGCTCTGTGGCCTGGCGGTTGGAGCCGAATCCTGGGCTTTCTACTAGTGGCCTGTTGGTATACAATCAATTTTCTAAGAAGACAAAAATGGAATATAATACTAAATACTTCATGAATGACTGGCATAACCTCAACCTTTGTGCCAGGTCATGCTGATGTTCAAGGCAATGAGTGCGCAGATCTTCTTGCAGACACCATGGTTGCTATAGCTTGTTCAGTACTGTATACAGAAGCACTGTTATCGATGACATGCTCAGAACTTGCTGTGAAGAAGAATATGCCAAAGGGCATGACTCTGTATCCTTGCCTGGCTGATGGATATGGGGGTACAATCTGCAGCTGCAAGAAATTAACATTTCACCAAGGAGATAACAAATTTGATTAATCAACATAAAACAGGCGTCATCTGTTGTTTTATGATTGCGGAGCCTCTGAGGAGGAGATCGGAGCACCTATGGAACTGTCCTGCGTGTCCGATTCTGGACTTTAGTCTTGTTCCAGAACTTGAGTTTTGTGTGCACATTCATTTTACAGATCTGGCTTTTTGTATGCAGACTGTTGGCTCCTCACTTCTCAGGCAGATTTACTCCGAATGAAGAAAACACACCTAATTAGTCGCCTTTTAGAACATATCTGTTACAGGGCAGTGGGTCTTATCTTTTCTCCCAAAATGGGGCTCTTGAACTCACAAAGGGAAATCAGACTGACAGGTGGAAAGTTGGGACTTACTTGGCTCGATCTAAGCACCACTGGATGAGATCCAAGTGATAGGCAAGTCTCCTGCAACCGTTGGCCAACTGAGGGTGGTACCCTTCTGCCTGGGGATATAAACATATGGCAATGATGTAGCAATGGTGAGAACACAAACATATGGCAATGATGTTACACTAGTGAGAACACAAACATATGGTAATGATGTAGCACTGTGGAAAAAACAAACATATAGCACTGATGTAGCACTGGTGAAAACATAAACATATGGCAATGATGTAGCACTGTGGAAAAAACAAACATATAGCAATGATGTAGCACTGGGGAGAACACAAAACATATGGTAATGATGTAGCACTGGTGAGAACACAAACATATGGTAATGATGTAGCACTGGTGAAAACACAAACATATGGTAATGATGTAGCATTGGTGAAAACACAAACATATGGTAATGATGTAGCACTGGTGAAAACATAAACATATGGTAATGATGTAGCACTGGTGAGAACACAAACATATGGCAATGATGTAGCACTGGTGAAAACAGAAACATATGGTAATGATGTAGCACTGGTGAAAATACAAACATATGGTAATGATGTAGCATTGGGGAGAACACAAACATATTTTAATGATGTAGCACTGGTGAGAACACAAACATATTTTAATGATGCAGTACTGGGGAGAACAAAAACATACAGCAATTATGTAGCTCTGGTGAGAACACAAACATATAGCAATGATGTAGCACTGGTGAGAACACAAATATATTTTAATGATGCAGCACTGGGGAGAACAAAAACATACGGCAATGATGTAGCTCTGGTGAGAACACAAACATATAGCAATGATATAGCATTGGTAAGCACACAAACATATGGCAATGATGTAGCACTGTGGAGAACATAAACATATGGCAATGATGTAGCATTGGGGAGAACACAAACATATGGCAATAATGTAGCACTGGGGAGAACACAAACATACGGCACTGATGTAGCACTGGGGAGAATAAAAACATATGGCAATGATGTAGCATTGGGGAGAACACAAACATACGGCTATGATGTAGCACTGGCAATGTGTAGCACTGTGGGAACACAAACAAAATGATTAGCATTGGGAGAACTGGCCAATGAACACTTGGTGAGAACACAAACATACGGCACTGATGTAGCACTGGGGAGAATGCAAACATATGGCAATGATGTAGCTGGTGAGAACAGAAACATATTGCAATGATGTAGCACTGGGAGAACACAAACATATGGCAATGTTCACTTTAGCACTATGTAGCACTAATGAGGATACAGATGTGCAAATACAAGAATGACCTGTTCTAAAAGTTATCATTAGTTTGATGTCAACTCTATATTCTTCTTCCTCTTTTACTTACTCCTTCGGTGTCGAGGGATACACAGGATCCTGCTTCCTGCTCTTCTGTCTGCTTCAACCAGACACACATCGTGTCATCTGTATTCACTGAGCTAAATGCAGATGCCCCACAATGAAGCCAACTGGGTAAAAGTTTTACATGGTACAATAGCATCACTCTTGATTACAGCAAATATCATCCTCATGTAGCAGGTCCTGAAAGAAACGGCCCCTCGCCAGCTCTCCCGCCTTGTGTACTTTCATATTCAAGGAGTCACTTATATCCCATGCCCATCTTTCTGTTGGTCAGCCTCTGCCCTCCTTCCTGGTACCATGCCTTCTGCTTTTTTTTTTTTTTTTGAATCCGTCATGGTGCTCGATATGACCAAAATATTTCAGCTTCCCAGACAAGATGCAGTATATTAGCCAATCTTCCTTGATGTTTAGATCTTTAAAAATTTCAGTTTTTCTTCTCTTTTTTTGTCCACAGTATTCTGAAAATCTTTCTATGGCATTTCAGCTCAAAAGCCACTTTTTTCCTAAGGACTGGGAGATAGTCCAAAGCTCACAAGCAAGTATTAGTTTAACAAACTACGACAGTTTGAAAGTTGTAGACAGGATGACTATTTACTTACAGAATCATCCCAGAGAGTGTCTAGGAGTGTCCTGGCATTGGCAGATGTCATGCAATAGGACCATCCCATCAACAGAATTGCCGGACGCAGGGGCTGTAACTCTAAGTAACTTAACATATTCTGTAGATCAGCGAACTTCCCTGATCTGACCAATGACAAACTGGCATCCTGGAAAACAAAAGGGTAGGGTTAACCATGTTGCCCTATAAACTTTAAAATTCAGGATCTTGCAGGAATTCAGAAGAAAATTAACCTCAAAATCTGACCAAGCATAGATTTGTTTAGAGAAGGGGGCTGGGCATAAGTTGTTTAATGCCTTACTTCACTGAGAGATCAAAGAAAGCAGTTTATGGACAGAAGAAAAGAAGTAAGATGAGAATTGTAGTTATAGATTTACCCCCTACTCATTTCTCAAATGACACTTTAAAAAAAAGCTTGATGGAGCCATTTCAATTGTGTGTTCATGATGTTTCTTAATAATACTGTTTTTAGTACCAATTTCTATAATATGTCTTCTGTTTTCTGCTCTTGCCATGATTTTTCACAATCCTCACTGATACAATATTTTAAGAGCCTGAAGTGTTTTTCATATTATTTGTTCATTGCAGGTCCATGGTTTCAGAGGTCAGTGAATGCGTTCAAGAATTTCATGATCCTTGAGTACCAAGGTCTGACATTTGCAGTGGACGGTTAAACAACAACAATAACAACAACAACTCATACACACACAAAATTTCCTGTCGCTTCAGCAATTGTACTAGAATCATACCATGGAATATTTTATATATATATATAATAAATGTACAGACAATGTACTGACTGGCACTCACAGAAAGAAGTAGAAAGATAAAAGGACTACACTAGAAAGACAATATAAAAATCAAAGCTATAGTTACTGTGTGGGGAATCGAACCTGTCACCTCAAAATCATGAACATGTCTTTATTTATGTGTATTACATGGAAGAGAACTAGGGCCTGACTGTGTAAGGTTCCCAAAGGCAGCATTGGCCACCTTCTTTGTGAGGTCGAGTGTTGAGCTAAGAACTGACACCACAGCGCTTGGGACTTCAAAAAAGCATTCGGTCCTCATCTTTAGAAGCCAGCAAAGAGTTCCAATTGAGATGTTATGTTATGTTTTCACAATCGATGTCACCGCACATTGGGCATTTCCATGCATGCTTTCCTCTGATACAGCAACCATTTCAAGGCATTTCTGCTAATTGTTCCTGTGAGAGATTGGTTATAATGTCTCCTATCTCAGCCTTGAAAGGCAGCACAGATGTGCTTCCCCATGCTTTACTCCCATCTCATGCAATCATGTTAGCCCAACTCGGATAGTGCCAGTTGCAGTCTGATTATAAGTCGTGCCTTTCCTCTGAGTGTTGAATGTTGACCAGGTCACTCCCAGCTGAACCATAAGTCTTGCCTTTCCTCTGAGTGTTGAATGTTGACTAAGTCACTCCCAGCTGAACCATGTCTTGCCTTTCCTCCGAGTGTTGAATGTTGACTAAGTCACTCCCAGCTGAACCATGTCTTGCCTTTCCTCTGAGTGTTGAATGTTGACTAGGTCACTCCCAGCTGAACCATGTCTTGCCTTTCTTCTGAGTGTTGAATGTTGACTAGGTCACTCCCAGCTGAACCATATGTCTTGCCTTTCCTCTGAGTGTTGAATGTTGACCCGGTCACTCCCAGCTGAACCATGTCTTGCCTTTCCTCTGAGTGTTGAATGTTGACTAAGTCACTCCCAGCTGAACCATACATCTTGCCTTTCCTCTGAGTGTTGAATGTTGACTAAGTCACTCCCAGCTGAACCATGTCTTGCCTTTCCTCCGAGTGTTGAATGTTGACTAAGTCACTCCCAGCTGAACCATACATCTTGCCTTTCCTCTGAGTGTTGAATGTTGACTAGGTCACTCCCAGCTGAACCATATGTCTTGCCTTTCCTCTGAGTGTTGAATGTTGACTAGGTCACTCCCAGCTGAACCATATGTCTTGCCTTTCCTCCTGAGTGTTGAATGTTGACTAGGTCACTCCCAGCTGAACCACATCTTGTCTTTCCTCTGAGTGTTGAATGTTAACTAGGTCACTCCCAGCTAAAACCATATGTCTTGCCTTTCCTCCGAGTGTTGAATGTTGACTAAGTCACTCCCAGCTGAACCATGTCTTGCCTTTCCTCTGAGTGTTGAATGTTGACTAAGTCACTCCCAGCTGAACCATACATCTTGCCTTTCCTCCGAGTGTTGAATGTTGACTAAGTCACTCCCAGCTGAACCATACATCTTGCCTTTCCTCTGAGTGTTGAATGTTGACTAAGTCACTCCCAGCTGAACCATATGTCTTGCCTTTCCTCTGAGTGTTGAATGTTGACCAGGTCACTCCCAGCTGAACCATACATCTTGCCTTTCCTCTGAGTGTTGAATGTTAACTAGGTCACTCCCAGCGGAACCATATGTCTTGCCTTTCCTCTGAGTGTTGAATGTTGACTAGGTCACTCCCAGCTGAACCATATGTCTTGCCTTTCCTCTGAGTGTTGAATGTTGACTAGGTCACTCCCAGCTGAACCATATGTCTTGCCTTTCCTCTGAGTGTTGAATGTTGACTAAGTCACTCCCAGCTGAACCATACATCTTGCCTTTCTTCTGAGAGTGTTGAAGTGTTGACTAAGTCACTCCCAGCTGAACCATACATCTTGCCTTTCCTCTGAGTGTTGAATGTTGACTAGGTCACTCCCAGCTGAACCATATGTCTTGCCTTTCCTCTGAGTGTTGAATGTTGACTAGGTCACTCCCAGCTGAACCATATGTCTTGCCTTTCTTCTGAGTGTTGAATGTTGACTAGGTCACTCCCAGCTGAAAACCATATCTTGCCTTTCCTCTGAGTGTTGAATGATGACTAGGTCACTCCCAGCGGAACCATGTCTTGACCTTTCTTCTGAGTGTTGAATGTTAACTAGGTCACTCCTTGTCAGGCGTAAAACCCCCCACCTTGCCCAACCCCTGACTGTTGAGATGTGACTTTTATAGTAGGACTGCCATCTATAATATTTTATTTTTAAATTTGTCTTCTGAGTGTTGAAGTTGACTAGGTCACTCCCAGCGGAACCATATGTATCTTGCCTACAGTTCTTCTGATATGTTACACATGATTCAACTAGGTCATTTGCCCAGCAGAGAACCATATGTCTTGCCTTTCTTCTGAGCTAGATAAGAATGTATGTATCCATGTGGGTTTTCGGGCCCCAGCAAAAACAAGAACAGACCCACTGCTTCCCCAACAAACATGTCGTAAGAGTTGACAAACTGGGGGGATTCCTTTAAAGTCAGTGCATCTGCCTGAGAGGAAAGGAAGCAACAATCTGCATACAATCAAGTCAGATCTGTTAAACGGATGTATATGCCACACTCAGGTTATAGAAAAAAATTAAAGTCCAGAGGTGGACAAACAACCGGAACCTTCCGCTGTAGTTTACAGTCAGTGAACTCAAAGAAGAAGAAGTAATACAGATGTGCACATAAGGCTCAAGTTCTGAACAAGACTAAAGTCTAGAAGTAGATGAACAGCCAGAACTATCTGCCTATTTGCAACTGGTGAACAAGAAGAAATAATTCCAGTTGATTTTGGAATATCTCTTAGACACATTACTAGACGGGGTTAAAAGCCTGGGTACATTTTGAAAATCCACCACCTCAATATTTTGTTAAGGAAACAAATTAAACTCTCAAACAGCTAAACAATTTTCAGTCACACATATACCAAAATTTCTGCCAAGAAATGAGCTCCTTTCTTGTAGCAGATGATGAAGAAATCTCGCCAGCAAACATTTCTGTCCAGCTGGTTCATCACATGGAGACACTGCCAATGGCTGTCACTGAGAAAGTCATTGTGTTCACTGATTGACTTGGCAACAGTCATCTCGCTGACTTATCACACACACTAAAGTCAATTATCACACACCACTAATGGTCATCTGTAAACTAGTGGACACAATTATCACACACACGAAAGGTATCTGTAAAAACCTAGTGGAGCACATTATCACACCACACTAAAGGTCATCTGTAAAACCTAGTGGAACACAAATATCACACCACACTAAAGGTCATCTGTAAAAAACTATTGGAGCACAATTATCACACACAGCAATGGCATCTGTAAAACCTAGTGGAAACAATTATCACACACACTAAAGGTCATCTGTAAAACCTAGTGGACACAATTATCACACACACTAATGGTCATCTGTAAAACCTAGTGGACACAATTATCACACACACTAAAGGTCATCTGTAAAACCTAGTGGGCACAATTATCACACACACAGCAATGGTCAATCTGTACAGCAAAAACCTAGTGGACACAATTATCACACACAGCAATGGTCATCTGTAAAACCTAGTGGCACACAATTATCACACACAGCAAATGGTCATCTGTAAAACCTAGTGGATTATCACAATAATGGTCACTGTAAAACTAGTGGAACACAATTAATCACACACATAATGGTCATCTGTAAAAACCTAGTGGACACAATTATCACACACACCAATGGTCATCTGTAAAACCTAGTGGACACAATTATCACACACAGCAATGGTCATCTGTAAAACCTAGTGGACACAATTATCACACACAGCAATGGTCATCTGTAAAACCTAGTGGACACAATTATCACACACAGCAATGGTCATCTGTAAAACCTAGTGGACACAATTATCACACACAGCAATGGTCATCTGTAAAATCACTAGTGGACACAATTATCACACACAGCAATGGTCATCTGTAAAACCTAGTGGACACAATTATCACACACAGCAATGGTCATCTGTAAAACCTAGTGGACACAATTATCACACACAGCAATGGTCATCTGTAAAACCTAGTGGACACAATTATCACACACAGCAATGGTCATCTGTAAAACCTAGTGGACACAATTATCACACACACAGCAATGGTCATTTGTAAAACCTAGTGGACACAATTATCACACACAGCAATGGTCATTTGTAAAACCTAGTGGACACAATTATCACACACAGCAATGGTCATCTGTAAAACCTAGTGGACACAATTATCACACACAGCAATGGTCATCTGTAAAACCTAGTGGACACAATTATCACACACAGCAATGGTCATCTGTAAAACCTAGTGGACACAATTATCACACACAGCAATGGTCATCTGTAAAACCTAGTGGACACAATTATCACACACAGCAATGGTCATCTGTAAAACCTAGTGGACACAATATCACACACACACATGGTCACTGTAAAACCTAATGGTCAATTATGTGGTCATCTGTAAAACCTAGTGGACACAATTATCACACACAGCAATGGTCATCTGTAAAACCTAGTGGACACAATTATCACACACAGCAATGGTCATCTGTCTAGTGGACACAATTGTACACAAATGGTCATCTGTAAAACCTAGTAGTGGACACACAATTATCACACACACCCAGCAATGGTCATCTGTAAAACCTAGTGGACACAATTATCACACACAGCAATGGTCATTTGTAAAAACCTAGTGGACACAATTATCACACACAGCAATGGTCATCTGTAAAACCTAGTGGACACAATTATCACACACAGCAATGGTCATCTGTAAAACCTAGTGGACACAATTATCACACACAGCAATGGTCATCTGTAAAACCTAGTGGACACAATTATTCACACACAGCAATGGTCATCTGTAAAACCTAGTGGACTAGTATCACACACAATGGTCATCTGTAAAACACTAGTGGACACAATTGGTCACACACAGCAATGGTCATCTGTAAAACCTAGTGGACACAATTATCACACACAGCAATGGTCATGTAAAACCTGTGGACACATAATTATCAAACAGCAATGGTCATCTGTAAAAACCTAGTGGGGACACAATTATCACAAACACAATGGTCATCTGTAAAACCTAGTGGACACAATGGTATCACTAGTGGACACAATTACACCAATGGTCATCTGTAAAACCTAGTGGACACAATTATCACACACCAATGGTCATCTGTAAAACCTAGTGGACACAAACACCAATGGTCATCTGTAAAACCTAGTGGACACAATTATCACAAACACCAATGGTCATCTGTAAAACCTAGTGGACACAATTATCACAAACACCAATGGTCATCTGTAAAACCTAGTGGACACAATTATCACACACAGCAATGGTCATCTGTAAAACCTAGTTGACACAATTATCATACACAGCAATGGTCATCTGTAAAACCCTAGGGGACACAATTATCACACATCTGTAAAACCTAGTGGACACAATTATCATACACAGCAATGGTCATCTGTAAAACCTAGTGGACACAATTATCATACACAGCAATGGTCATCTGTAAAACCTAGTGGACATCAGACTGGACACTCATTATCATCATCACTGTCCTGTCGTACCATTATATGTCACATAGGGCTCAGCAGGATTGACTAGGAAAGATCAAATCAAGGACACAGTCAGGACACTGGCAATTTGTTTTAATGACAAAGACAGCACCAAAAGAAACATGGTTTGCCTACTAAGAGATAATTTCCTGAGATGCTACACCATACAAATCATTCACCAAAAGACAAGAGGGATGCAGATCACGCGGTGAACCAAGAACAAGACTGAACGATAACATCACATAAACTTTAAAACAGCACAATGTGGCTATGGTCGAGGCGGACGAAAAGCCAGAAGCAGATCCTAAGATCTTCCTTGACACTCGAATATGTCCAAGAAAAAGTGAAGAAAAAAATAGACTTGGCAGACCATCATTTTCAGACTCAGAACGGGACACTGTTAACACAGCACGACAATGTCAAATGTGTCTTGCTGACTCCGTCACATGTGGTTGTGGTATATTTTGTAACCTCTTGCACACAAAAAACGCACATTTTCACTATTACTTAATTTTATATAAAGTGAATGAAATGTTTTATCCGTTTTTCAAGCTGATAGAAGAAAACCTAAGATTTTTCACACATACTTCTTCTTCTTCTTCTTCTTCGCGTTCACCCATTGTAAACTCCGGCGGAAAGTTCTGGTTGTTCGTCCACTTCTGGACTGCAGTCCTGTTCTAGAACCTGAGGGTTGCGTGTGCATCCGTTTGACAGATCTGTATGCAGACTTTTGGTTCCTTGCCTCTCAGGCAAATGCACTCTGACTTCGAAGGAAGCTCCCAATTAGTCGACTCTTACGACATGCTTTTTGGTAGGCAGTGGGTCTTTTCTTGTTTTCCCTATAGTAGGGGCCTGGAACCCACACCGGGAGTCACACATACTGCTTTCCAAATTAAAAAAAATTTTAAAAATTTTGCAAGGAGTCAGAAGAGGGAAAGAGGCAGACCCGGATACAAAATTTCACCGACTGTTTAGACCTTAAACCTACAAACACCAAGTCCACTGATGTGATTGACAGTAATGGTCAAGGCGCTTTTTCACAACAGCAGTGCATCAGGCATGTGAGGCTAGCCTTCTCTTTTTATAGACCACATGGCATTCGGTGGATGATGTGGTCATCATCATGCCGGCCACGTTTACTTCCCAGGACTTTACCTGCGGCTGCGTGGTCTCGAGGCATGGTGTCCGCTCTCCTAAAGTGCTAGAGGTTCCGGGGTCAGCCCCCGGTAAGAGCTGGGATTTTTTCACGTGGACTTGGACTTCTTGTAATTCCCCCTGGTCTCTGGGTGTGAGATCGGACATCCATGTGCATCATTGCGCACATTAAAAAAATCCCTTGGCAGTTGCAAATTCAAAAGAGTAGCCTAATGGCTCTGCCCGGGCAAAATTATGAGTTAAAAATGTAACCAAAGTATTTCAGGATCCTCGCCGGTGCTACAGAGCCTGTGCACTGTGCTAACCTGCTTCGGACTCAGACTTGAGTTAGAAGAAGAACGGAGCACTTATTGGTTACTACCCATGATGTTAATCCGTTGTTCAAACCTCAAACCATTTTAGGCTGGGTGGACCTGAAAGCCAAAGTCATAAATAAACAAAAATATATAAAAAAAACAAATCAGGCTCCATGCAGATTTGAACCCACCACCTTCAGATTTGCAACGAGCGTCAAGTTGGTACACCATGGCAGCTCCCATGTGACCTACAGAGGTGGAGAACAATGATCATAGAGTAAGCAGCAAATGGAGACCCAAACAAGTTGTGGTTCTTTCTTTCTTCTTCTTTTGTTATCTCATTGTGTTAATGGACTATGATAATGACGAAAAAAAGCTATTTGTTTCGACATTTAAATATTCAGTTCTCGCATACCTCTTGGTAGATTTTACAAAACTCATCCAACAAATATGGCACCTGCCGACTACAAATAACAGACACAATCCTCTCAGGTGTTAGAGATGACGCACTGCCACTAAGTGTCAAGGTCAGCAGCCGACTAAAAAGCTGCCGCAGCTGGAGATAGTTCCAATACGGCACTGGATTATAGAAGGCCAAAATGTGAAGGGCACTGTCCACATATCTAGTGACATCGTCAGCATTTGAATTCTGCTTTTTCCTTCCCTCAAGTTTGTCGAGCCAACAATTCACACAATCCAGATAGATTCCTGTGAGAATTTAATAAAAAGCAGAATATTCAATGAAATATTTTTTATATTAAAGACAAGCAGTATAAAATATATGGTTCTGCCTGGCATATTTCTCTTTATCTTGACATACACCATCACTGTCCTGCCCGTTATGCCATTACATGTCACACAGGGCTCACAGTCTATCTCCCTACCCCCTCTACCCTATCCTTTCAAAACCATGGATGGAATTCAGTCCAGCACCACTGGCCTCTCTTATCTCTTATGGATGGAATTCAGTCCAGCACCACTGGCCTCTCTTATCTCTTATGGATGGAATTCAGTCCAGCACCACTGGCCTCTCTTATCTCTTATGGATGGAATTCAGTCCAGCACCACTGGCCTCTCTTATCTCTTATGGATGGAATTCAGTCCAGCACCACTGGCCTCTCTTATCATTTTAGGGTTTCTTTTGGGCGTCCTTGCTTCCTCAGTCATTTTTATTTCCCATTTTAGTGCCTGCCTGGTGATTCTCTGCTTGTTTCTTTTCAGGATGTGTCCAGTATAGTGCCATCTTCTTTATCATATAACAGCTGGGTGCTTTAGTAATATCTTACCCCAAACAGGGAAAATCCACAGGTCATGGGAGAGTCTAATATTTCAGGGGGTAGTAATGGGAGGAAATGAAAGTTCCCGTTGACTGGCAGAGAGCAATTATAGTTCCCATATGGAAGAAGAAAGGTGATAAACGAGATTGTGAAACATACAGAGGTATCTCTTTACAAAGCCATGTAGGAAAGATGTTTGCAAAAATATTAGAACGAAGAGCGAGGGTGATATTAGAACTTCAATTAAGTAACAATCAGTTTGGATTTAGAAAAGGAAAGAGCTGCACTGATGCAATATTTACTCTTCGGCAAATTTGTGAACAGACAATCGAATATAATAAACACCAGAATCTTATATTCATTGATCAAGAGAAGGCTTTTGACAGGGTTAACAGAAATAAACTATGGAACATTCTTGAAGAATATGGTGTACCGGGTCAATTATTGGGAAACATAATGGCTCTCTTATCAAAATAGGCAGAGCGCTGTAAGAACAACGGACGGTATGACAGACTGGTTCCCCATTACATCAGGAGTACGACAAGGATGTGTCCTATCATCCCTACTTTTCATCACATATATGGATAAAATTGCACAGGAGTCAAACCAAAACACAGATATTATAAATGAACTACTCTTTGCAGATGACCAATGTTTGTTACAAGAAGAAGAACAAAAACTACAACAACATGTTGATTTATTGCTCACTAACTGTACAAAATTTGACACGAAAATAAACACCTCAAAAACTGAAGTAATGACCATAGGAAAGAAACACAGTAATGTAAACATAAAGATCAAAGACATACAATTAGAACAAGTTCAAGAATTCAAGTACTTAGGATGCATATTTACAGAAGATGGAAGACTCGATAAAGAGATACAGGCTAGGGTTCAAAAAGCCAATGCAGTCAACTACCAACTGGCCCCACTTCTTCGTCATCCAAAGATCTCGTTACCAGCCAAACAACGGTTGATCAACAGCATTTTCATCCCTACGTTATGTTATCAGTGCCAAACGTGGACAATGAACAAATCACATATGCCAAAAATAACTACGTGTGAAATGCGATGTCTCCGAAGAGTCACCAACAATACACGAAGAGACAGAGTCACAAACGTCAGCATTAGAGACAAAGTTGGAACAAGAGCATGCATGGAACATATTGAAAGACAGAGAATGAAGTGGTTTGGCCATTTAGTAAGAATGCAACCGGATCAGATTGCCTATAAGGCCTTTTACAGTAGAACATCGGGAAGAAAGGCCAGAGGAAGACCCAGGAAAAAATGAATAGATGGAGTAGCTGAATACGGCCAGAAGATCCAGAAAACTGTCACTCAAATCACGCGAGAGGCACAAAACAAATATTTTAAACCACGACACTGGGCTGCAACCCGGTAAAAGTGAAGAAGACAATAGATAGATAGATAGTAGATAGGTTGCATGCAGTCGTGGGACCTAGGCTGCACTCTCTCGGGGGATGTTGTTGGGTTAGGGTTAGGGCCAGTTCTAGATGTTTTGGGGTCATTAAAAGCATCAGAAAATCGGGAAACACAGTCTTACCACCCTCTAAAATGTTAGACTGTCCTGTGATGTCAACTGGGGTAGGATATTAATAAAGCACCAATGGCTGATACTAGTGGTTGCTTAAACATTTCTCTTATTTCTTCACCCGTGTTGAATTGAGGCCATTTTATGTTCACCATCTTGTCATAATACCACTGACAAAAATCAACATAACATTAAACCGAACAATGAATCATTGAAATTTTATAAAAACCACACTGGATGGAAAAGCTGAAGCAGGCAAGCAAGAGGCGGACAGGGATACAAGTGAGAAGACTACAGATGGACGAATAGTATCCTGTCAGAGTGTGCAACCAGGGACGGAGACAGGAGTACTGGAGACTGACTTCAGCCCCCTTTACTGTAGAGTTACATATTGCTGGCGTCTTTCCAGACCACAGCTTTATACTGAGCTACAGGAAGGCATGGCAATCCCAGCCCATGGAGATGTCGAATGAGTTGAGTTGAGTCAAGAGTTAACATCACAGCACTCGGGGCATTCACATGCATGCTCCGTCCTCATCTTCAACAGCCAGCGCAGAGTTCTAATACTGATGGTACTGGTCCCAATCTGGTTAAAAGTCTGTCTTGTATTTCCTCTGAGTGTAGTGAGCCAGCCAGACCCTCTGGTTACACCCAGGTGCCTCATTTTCTCCAGGCCATAATAATCTTCTTTCTCTACTGATTCCGTTGCTTGTTCCCAAAGGGCCTTGACCACATCTGGAGATGTCGAATGTGACTAGCAAGACCTACTTGTGTGCAGAAAACTTGTCCACACTTAAAGCATGGAGTTTCAGGATCCTTGTTGCCATAGTGTATCTAAGAGAATGATGCTGCGAGGAGTTGCCAGAAGCTGATGCTCAACACTCAAAGGAAAGGAAGATGGATATACAATCAGAATTTTATTAGTACAATTGGAACTCTGCATCTGCTGCTGAAAATGGCTTAAGGTAATGTCCAAAGTGCTGTGATCTCAATTCTTCATTTATCTTCTAAGAACAGGGATTATAGAAAAGAAGAAAATACAGTAAATTCAGATTTTTCTGTACCTAAAAAAAAAAAAAAAAAAAATTAACAGTGAAAGCACACGGGAGACGGGAGAATTGTTACCTTGTAACCCCATGTGGGTTCCGGGGCCCAATTTTGGAAAGGGGGAAAAAAACCCAGACACACTGCTTTCCTAAGAAGATGTTTCCATGAATGTCAGAGTGAGCTGCCTGAGAGGCAAGGAACCAACAGTCTGACTACAAGTAAACCAGAACTGTAAAATGGATGTGCATACATAAAGAATTCAAGTCTTAAAACACGACAAGTCCAAAAGTGGACAAACAATCAGAACTTTCCGCCTGAGCTCACAGCTGGAGAATGCTAAGGGAAAAATTACCTTGTAACAATTCATTATTTCTGTTCTCTGCAGCATTTTCCGTGGTCATTAGCGACCTCAGAACACTGTCTCCCAGACTGGGTTGTCTCATCAAGATCTTCTTCAGGAAGTCTATGGTGTCCCTGGATAAGAAATCTCCTTCTCCAGAATCAATCTGGGATGTTCGGTGACCTGAGTTTAAGTACATTCTTTCTGAAGAACAAGTAGAGTTCCTGTGAGAATAAAACAAGAGTCACCACAAGTAAGTTTGGCAATAGACCATTTTCAAGTCACTGGAACATTAGACATATGGCTAAGGCGAAGAGCTTGACAATTTTCTAAAAGACTTAGAAGAAGAAGCAGAGGAAACATCATATCCTTATGTAGCAGATCCTTAGCAAGGATGCTCTCAACACGGTCTGCCTGAAAGAAATTCGGTCTCTCGCCAGCTCTCCCACTTTATGCACTTTCATACTCAAGAAATCACTTATATCCTACCCCTTCATGTTGATCAGCCCCTGCCCCTCCTTCCCTGGTACCATGCCTTCTGCAATTGTGGATTTGGATAGCCAAAATACTACAGATACTATTTATCAGCCAGTCTTCCTTAATGTTAGATCTTTCAAAAATATCAGTATTTCTTTGCTTCTTTGTCCTTGGAGGCATCATATGCTTGCTGAAAAGAGTAAAGACAGTGACAGAAATAACAACAACAAAACCACACAAAGTACACACAAACAGCATGATATATTAGTCCTACCCTGATGTGTGTGCCATCATCAGCTTTCAGCTGAGCCAGAGTCAAACGAAAATCCACATCTTTCATTAGGCTGTCAATCACCAGTTTCTGAATATTTAGGAGAAGAAAATAATAATTTAATAGAAAAAAAATGTATTTTTGGAAGGGGTAACATTTTACAATATGGCCACATTTTTAGAAGAGAACAACTGCAATATACAACAGTTGGTGAGTTTAATAGGAATAGAACAAAGGGAAGCAGTGAGAATTGTTCCAGCACTAACTCATGGGATGGCAAAATATCAGCAAATGAACTGATACACCAAGCTATGTTTTTTTTTAAAGATGGATTGACCTATTAACCCTGGTCAATTTTAAAAGAATCCCCAACTCAACAGGGATTCAAACACCGGACTATCATGCTCCATAAAAAAGCATGCTAGTCACTACAAACAGTGGAAAAAAAGGCAACTAGACAGAGAATGATGTATATTATCAGAATCATGAGGCAAAGGGATAATAAGGGCAAAAGAAAACAGAGAAAGATACAAGTAGCAGTAATTTAAACAATTGAATCCTGTTCAACCCATGTGGATTACAAGGGGAAGAAATGTTTTTTTCCTATATTTCAATACTGGATTTTCATGCTTGCAAATAAATCTAACACAAAAACAGGTACTTCTACTACTTCTTCTACTACCAACACTACAACTTCTACTACCATCACTACCACTACTACTTCTACTACCATCACTACAACTTCTACTACCACTACTACTTCTACTACCATCTCCACAACCAACACCACTTCTACAACTTCTTCTCTTTTTTTTTTACAACTACTACTACAACTTAGCTGAGTAACAAACAATAAAAGCAACACCACCTACACTAAAATATTTTGCCTGTTCTACCCTGCAGTGTGAAGTCAATTAATGTTTTCTCTCATATCTGAAGCACAGACTTACCTACAAGTCTTTTTCATTCTATCTTTGAGTATAGAAGCATCATATGGTCTTGAAGACTTTTTATTTCTAACCTGGGAGTAAAGATAATTCTATCTTCCTCTTCCTTGGAGCAAACAGTGATTTCAAATCAAAAATAGCTTTCCCTCTACTAGCCTGAAGTGCAAAAAAATACCTCATGGTTTTGTGTAGAGTTCCAACTTACACAATGACTACTTAACCAAGGCAAGTTTACTCAAAACAGGAGCTGGCTGCTTCAGTAATGGCCACCCATAAAATGTCAAACACAACCAGTCAGAACTGTGTGCATCAGTGACAGGAAAACTCTAACCCTTACAACAGCTCACAGTTTGTGAACTTCACTCAGACAGTCTGGCCATAAGAAGAGCTCAGGTTGTTTAGATAAACAAAACTGAAAAACACTAAACAAACAGACAAGGAGAAGCAGAGATAGCAGGGCTCTCCTTCCAGTAACAGCTTTATGGTATTTATTACACATCTGTAAGTTACTTATATCATTCATATGCATTGTGTGTACTCATTAAAGTTGCTTTTTCTTACTGTCATTATTAACTCATTCTGCATGAAGTAAAGTGCAGAACATTTATTTTAACAAATAATTCCCAGACATGCTGAGACAAGTAAATGAATTTTTTAGTCAGTATGAGACTTTAAACAAAGTGTTTGTTTGTTTTAGTATCCAGAAGCCATGAGTTGTTAACCCTTAGGCTCGGTATTATGGATATCACAACCTTTCGGCCTTGATTCCATTGTAAATACCGTAAATCTGGAAGAAAATGTGGCTTTCCTGCCCACCCCCGGGATTGAACCCGGACCACAAGGAGTTCATCACCCGGTCTCCGCACAATCCGGTTTAGCCAACTACGCTAGAGAGCCGGGCAAACAAAGTGTTTAAAAAATAGTATTCTCAGTCAAAACACATTTGTTGGATACATATAACTTTGACTTTAGAATACATAATATGCATCAAAGAAAGGATGTCCAGATACTGATAATTTACATTATAATCCAGTAATTTGTACCCATAAATTCAACTGTAAATTATTGTCCAATTCTGCTATTCGTCTCCCAATGGAGCATAGGATCTCACCAACTCATACTGAACTCTTTGTAGACCTGTTTATGATTGGCTTGATTTTTACAAGTAAAGTTTCTACAGGCTTAGATAGCTAATCTTCCCCATGTATGGGTTTGGGGATCCCATTCTGAGGGAAAAAGAACAGACTCACAAGACTAACAAACAGAACTTTCTTTTGAAGTTTACAGCTGGTGATGGTGAAGAAGAACAGATATGTAGATGCTACCACACATCATCTGAAGCCCCTTGCCTTCAGATAAGCATCCTGGCTCTTTCCTGAAAACCCATGTTTAGCTCAACTTCTATACCTCTCTTCTATTCTTTTTCTTAGTGCTCCCTGGCTGTAAACTCCGGCAGAAAGTTCTGGCTGTTCATCCACTTCTGGTCTTTGGTCTTGTTCCAGAAATTGACTTATGTGTGCACATCCACTTTACAGATCTGGCCAATTTATAAGCCGACTGTTCATTCCTTGCTTCTCAGGCAGATGCACTCCGATTTTAAAGGAAACATTGCTAACCAACTGCCTCTTATGACATGCTTGTTAATTAGATGTGGGTCAATTTTTACTTGGCCTGGAACCCACACAGGAAGTATACCTGTGACACTGGTAACTCTAGCAAGGACCTCATATAATACTTCAAGTCCTGCTGTTAACACAGCAAACACCCTACCTTCTCAGCATCCAGAAGAGGACACAGCTGTTTCAGCTCTTGTAGACACAGCCATGACAGATGATGTGGTGATGGGACAGAAGCCGACCCCAAGCTGTGAAACAATCAGTTAGTCAGAACAAGTCTAAAATGATCCGCACAAAACATTATTTCTCATTCTTTATATTCACTGGTTTTAGACTCCGGCAGAAAGTTCTGGTTGTCTGTGCACTTTGGCCGTGTTCGAGAATTTGACTTTTCACGCACATTCGTTTTATACATTTGGCTTAATTATATGCAGACTGTTGATTAATTAACTCTCAGGCTGATGCACTAGTCAGAGGAAACTCATCTCAAAAGATGCCTTTTATAACAGGCTTACTGGGAAAGGGGGGGGGGGGGGGGTTGGTATGTCATATTTTTCTCCCAAATTAAGCCTTGGAACCCATATGGAGATGATACATTACAAAGAAAAAGATACTGTAGGATCTTTTATTTCCTTATTCAGCATGAGTTATGTTTGGTGTCTATACACAGTTAATTCTGGACCAAGCTTCTTCTTCTGTGTTCCCCATTAGCCATGCGACATATACAGCGCCCCCTCAGTCACAAACAGGCCAGCACATCTAAGGTTGTCACTGGTTCCCTATAGCTTATAGTGTAGCTCCACTGGGCCAGATCTCCTACCTTTGCCAGGAACCTTTGGGGCAATACTGCAGTACATGCTCATGAGTCTATCTGTCCAGGAAATTTTTGGGCAATATTGCAGTACATGCTCATGAGTCTGTCCAGGAAATTTTGGGGCGATATTGCAGTACATGCTCATGAGACTGTCCAGGATATTTTGGGGCGATATTGCAGTACATGCTCATGAGTCTATCTGTCCAGGAAATTTTGGGGCAATATTGCAGTACATGCTCATGAGTCTGTCCAGGAAATTTTGGGGCAATACTGCAGTACATGCTCATGAGTCTGTCCAGGAAATTTTGGGGCAATACTGCAGTACATGCTCATGAGTCTGTCCAGGAAATTTTGGGGCAATACTGCAGTACATGCTCATGAGTCTATCTGTCCAGGAAATTTTGGGGCAATACTGCAGTACATGCTCATGAGTCTGTCCAGGAAATTTTTGGGCAATATTGCAGTACATGCTCATGAGTCTGTCCAGGAAATTTTGGGGCAATACTGCAGTATATGCTCATGAGTCTGTCCAGGAAATTTTGGGGCAATACTGCAGTACATGCTCATGAGTCTGTCCAGGAAATTTTTGGGCAATATTGCAGTACATGCTCATGAGTCTGTCCAGGAAATTTTGGGGAAATACTGCAGTATATGCTCATGAGTCTGTCCAGGAAATTTTGGGGCAATACTGCAGTACATGCTCATGAGTCTGTCCAGGAAATTTTGGGGCAATACTGCAGTACATGCTCATGAGTCTGTCCAGGAAATTTTGGGGCAATACTGCAGTACATGCTCATGAGTCTGTCTGTCTGCTCCACATGCACAGGTGGCAGCCCCAAGCAAATTACAAAGTAGTACTGCCTTTTCCCCTTGAGTAACATTAGCAACCACTGTATGTTGTGTTCTGTAACTTAAAATGTTTGGTCAGGACATACTATAAAAATCTGGCTCCCCGATTACAATGAAGCGTAACACTGCTCTAACCTGGTGTGTCTACGGAGGAAAGTAAGAAGAGTAGGTTTTGGATTAAAAAGAACCAGAGGCAAAAGTCACCAAAGAATTAGGAAGTCTAAGGAGCAAACAAGAATTAATCAGCCAACAAAAATGGGCTACATAAGATAGGGAGGATTCGATGTTTGCAACCTGAGAAGTCAAATGTTAGAAAACTGGTCAAAGTTAGTAGCAAGCAACTGATCCACTGTCAGTGCAGAAGACAAATAAGTTTGTGGTCGTAACTGATTTGCTGGCACCTTCAATCGCGATTAACTGATTTGCTGGCACCTTCAATCGCGATGGTGGGTGTGACTAGCAAAACCCACCCGCGTCAGGAAAGGTCTTCCACAATTACAGCATGGGATTTTCGGGTCGGGGAACGATTAACTGATTAACAATTACTAGTTGCTAGTTAGTGCATGCTAGAAAATTAATAAGTTTTCTGTCTAAATTGGAGGGAAAAAAATGAATGCAAGTACAAATATCGTACCTTTGAGAAAATGGATATTCTGAAACGTTAATAAGTACTTGAGCAAAATCAATATTAGCCTTGCTTGTTTTCAATTCCTTGATCAAAGTTGGTATGGCCGTTTTCGCAAGTTCCCACTGTCCAAGAAAAACATTGTTACAGAAAAACTTAAACAAATCCTCGATTTTTTCCTGCCACTGCGCACTAACGTACTGATTTAATACTTTATCAAAAGTATTTTTTGTCTCCATGTTTTAAGGTAAAGGTGGCCTTAGAAAACTAAAGCGAAGACAAATTTACAAAATGTTAAGTCTGTTTGAGTTTGTTTTTGATTGTATACATTCTACATGGAGGTCGCCATTTTGTTCTATCATGTGCCCCACCACCCTCTTCTCACAACAAGAAGTCAACCAATAGAAACCGTCGACGCATCACAACACTGGTCAAGCAGCAGAAGTGACCACTCACAAATGTCAAACATCACAATTAACCGCGAAGTTTGAAGGAGGGATGGCGATGGTTAGTTCACGGTTAATTTTTCTTGATAGAGTCTAATCTAATACCATGCGCGTTTTTTTTACCCTAACTCATATTCACTTTCACTGAGTTTCAGCTCAACTTTCAATGCAACCTTTTTCTGACTCTTGCTTGGGATTTAGTTAATTGAAAAACTATTTGTTGCTCTTATTTTTGTCTACTTTGAACTTTGGACACCCAGGACATGACAAAAATGGCGGCCTAATAGCGCGTTTTTTTCCCTAACTCATATTTATGCAAATATTTAGATGGCACTTTGAACTTTTCTGGCCATAAAATTATCATAAAATAAAAATATCCGAACGGTGTTCACGTATATCTTCTTCTTCTTGTTCACCGGCTGTGAATTCCGACGGTAAGTCGCGGTTGTTCGTCCAAAATGGACTTTTGGCTTTTACCTTGACCTGAGTTTTGCGTGTACATCCGTTTTACTGGCTTATTTGTTTGCAGTTCTCGTTCCCCGCCTCTCCGACAGATGTACTCCGACTTCGATTTTTAGGTTGACTGTGGCCATTGTTTTGTGTGGGTCGAGATGTTGCCTCATTTGTGTGGTGTCCTCTTTGACTTTTAACAGGTGTGGCCCCTGGAATGTCGTCCTTAAGGCAGCTCTATGTAGAGTTTTCAGCCCTCAAGGGAAGGCAGGGGCAGATCGTGGGCATTCCCCGCCATCCAAGGAGGCTTCCATAAATGCAGAGCCGACACATGATGCTCTGGTTCTGGGCTCACCCAAGGAATCGTCACTTCCTGCCCATGACTGCTTAACCTCGCAACCGTGTATTGAGCTTCCCGCGCTACAAGGCTGCGCTCTCCGGAGATCAGGGGGGAGCAGCCCGCAGGTCTAGGACGTTTGTGGCCACACAAATAGGTACATTCTTTTTCATCTTACGTTAGACACCTTTAACGTTGTTTCAGCTGTGCCCTTAGCACAACAGAATGGGAAAGCTAAAATGCGTCAGGCGTGGCTTCACCTGTTTGGTCCCAACACTCGGGCGAGTTGGACCAGTGGATACGGACATTCGGACTTCTTCCTAATCGGTACGAATTATGATCGTCGGACTCTGAGCTTGCATGTGTGCCGTGGGGTATAACTTTGTCGGACATTATTTCCAAGCCAGCATATGAAAAGTTGCTGCCGTGGTGTACCTCAGCGCGGTGACGATGACACTGAGGATTGAGAATGTACGTAGGTAGGATCTTGCTGCGAGAAGTCGCCCACAAGAGATGTTACTCGTCTTGACTGCGGGTAAATCTCTCGGTCAGGGTTGAGTCTCAGCAGCACAGTTTAAAATTCCATCCCGAATTTTAACCAAGAGTTGTCATTTGATGGTACATTTAGCAAGCAATTCTTGAGTTTTGTTAGACTTTTCACCCATGCGTTTGGGGGCGGGCTGGTGAGAGCCAGAAAGGACACTACACCTCTAGGGGCCGCCAGCTCCGAGATCCCCTGCCAACTCTGTTAATGCTCATTTGAGACATTATCCGTGGCGCACGACGGGGACGTGCAGCAGGAGTCTTGCATGAGGTTCCGTAAAACCAGAACAGTGAAGGACTGGCACCCGAGTGGGGTACAGAGTATCTCCTTATACACCTCACATCAGACTTAACTTTGCCTCATGCCTGTGACCGAAATCACTGCGCCACGTTCACGTATATCTAAAATACGGACTTTCTGCCAAGGAACAAATCGCGGCAAAACTAGGATTACTTGACAATCAATATCAACATTGCACACGGTAGTAGCAAACGATAAATACCGACCGCTGACAATTTTGAACGTTTCTGCAGACGATACTAGCAGACGATATTAGCGACCGTTGACCACTTTTGAGACATTACAGACGATGAAAGCCGATTAGCAATACTGTGTTCTTCCGATTGGAGGATTTAGCAGCGGTAGATGTCAGACTTGTCGGCATGCGCGAAACGCGATTAAACTCATCGCCGAGCGTATCCCCCGCTACGCGCGGCTCGGATGGAGAGGGGGGGGGGGCTAAACTAGGTGCCTGGGACTCACGAGTCAAGTAATTGGAGAAAGTTGTAGAAGATGCGTAGCTGCCGCTCGTGAGTCCCAGCCATCTAATTGTCCCTATCCGCGCGTAGCGGCGCGGGGGATACGGTCGGCAGTGAGGGCACACTCGCAGAAGCAGGTCTGCAAGTAACGTATTGCCGAGACCCTGTTAGAGCATTTGTTTCGTTATGCTATATTTTATAGAACTGAGCCCCATTAGGATATTTTTGGATATTTTTTGGCCAGAAATTGGCCAATTTAGCTCTCTTTTGAACGGCATCATATTACAGCCGCCATTTTATGGGGAAGTTCAAAGGAGAGCCGTTTATTTCAAAATTTGTGTCTTTGAGATAGAGACTACTACAGACTGTTGTGTTGTCCTTCATTTCGAGCTATTAGTTTTTCAGCAAGTATGTGAAATTATTAAGTAATAGTTTAAAAAGGTAATTAAATTAATGTTGGGGATATCACTGACACCTTACATTTGCTCATTGGACGACACAAAATATGAAAGCTGTAGGTGGCCACACTCAGATTCAAAGGTGCCACCTCACATGATGGCAGTGCCTTGCTGTAGGAACAAATATACTTTAATGCATGTCCAGTTAGACACACTTTAAATGATCCAAGTTTTACCGAAATGATAAGTTTTACATGAGTAAGATAAACATCTGCTTAACATACTTGGCTATCCTCTGAATAACGGTCCTAAATTATCGAGGTGGAAAATATACCCTAACAGGGCCTCAGTCACATGTCAATTGCGCACTTCCAGGGACTATAACGCCACCGCCGGATTCCAAACTTCTGGCGACTTCCGCCACCACCGAGAGTATCCCCCACGCCGCTCACGCGGCGTGGATTGGGGCTAAACTAGATGGCTAGGACTCACTAGCAAATAAAATGAAGGAAGATGCAGGAGATGCGGTAGCTGCTGCTCGTGAGTCCCAGCCATCTAGTTTAGCCCCAATTCACGCCGCGTGGGGGATAGATACTCTCGGCGGTGGCGGAAAAACCCGAAAGTGCGCAATTTAAGATGATGGAAGTGAGCAATTGACACGTGACTGAGGCCCTGTTAGGGTATATTTTCTACCTCAATAATTTAGGACCATTATTCGGAGGATAGCCACATAATTTATGTGCAAAGAGGCCGGGCTTAGAAAGGCACAGGCCAGAAAAGACAATCACAAGGTTAGCATGATTGTGGGGAAACAGAAGAAAAGAAAAAGTTGGATGTTGAATTATAAATCAACATCATAGCACTCAGGACGCTTCCGTAAGTGCCCCGTCGTCATATTCAGCAGCAAGCGAAAAGTTCCAATTCCGATGGCACCAGTCTTCTTCTTCTGCCTTTCTTTCCCCAAATGGAGCATAGGCCCTCAACCAATTCACGCCAAGTCGTTCTATTTCCCCTCCATCTTTCTAACTTCATTCTCCACCTCTCTTCTCCATGTGTTTTTTGGCCTTCCTTTATTCCTATGCCCCTGTGGGTTCCAATGCAAAGACATTCTAGTTATGCTATTCTCCTGTTTTCTCAGTGTGTGTCCTATCCAACGAGAGCATCTTTTCCTCACCTCTTGGTCCACTGGAACTGTTTAGTTCTCTCCCAAAGTTCTACATTGATTTTTCTATCATACCATTTAGTTCCCTCTGTTCTGCGCAGGCAGATGGCACCAGTAACTGTTTGTTTATATTTATATGTTTCGGCTTTTCCTTGTGTGTTGGCCAGATCCCCTAGTAACTCCCGGCAGCGCCATTCTCCTCGGACCATAATCATCTTTTTTTTGCCACTGCACTGTTCTCACACTCCTAAAGGGACCTCACAGCATCTAGCTTATAGTACATCAATTTACCATCAAGTGGTGGAGAACGAAAAGAAGTGAGATGCCAAAGTGATGTGTTTGAATTGAATACTAGATTAGAAGAGTGAAACAACTGAGCATATTGCTATGTTTGGTACTGGAACAAGCGTTGCGTGGAAAAGTGAATGCGAGTGAAGTTGAAGATGTGAGTCTATCCAAGCAGCCTGCAACGACTATGAATATCTGGCTATTTGTAATTTTCTGGATGGATGTCAACATGTTGACTGAACATATAAAGTTGAATGTGCAAATGATCGTCTACAAACTTAATATGTATGAGATCTTGGTAATCTTAGTTTCTGCCTCATAGCAAACAGGTCACCCCATAGTTGCTCCATCCCTGTGCCAACGATAACACACACAGCATGTCTGTCACTTTCCCTTGTGGAAGAATTGGCACAGACTGTAGTCTCAGTATATCCACTAGCATACACAGGCATTACTAGCATAAGGCAGCCATCAGAAGTGCTAACACAAACAGTCTGACATTAGAAATTCCGACTATCATTGGGGGCTGAGTTGTCTTGATGTATGGCATCCGCCCCGAGTGCTGGAGGTCCCAGGTTCAAACACTGGTGATGGCTGGGATTTTTTGGCGTGAGCTTCTAGTAATTTCCCCTGAACTCTGGGTAATGAGACCAGACGCCCATTTGTATTGTCGCTCACGTAAAATATACCTTGGCAGTTGGAAATCAAAAAGAGTAGCCTAACGGCGCTGCCCTGGCAAAATTGTGAGTTAAAAATGTATCTAGTGTTTCAAGATCCTTGCCGGTGCATTGGAGTTCGTGCAATGCGCTAAGATTCTTCAGACTCAGGCCTGAAGTAGAAGTAGAACTGAGCACTTATGGGTCACATGTGTGTGTCATAGTGTTTATTCGTTACATAAACATAAACAGTGCATCACTGATGGGAACAGCAGTTACAAAAAGATCAGCAGTTGCACATACTATTAATTTTAATCACATAAGGCCCCACCAGTTCTGCAGCAACAGGCCATTTTCTGAATCCTTAGTTCACAACAACATGCTGGTCACAGTGGGAAAACATACCAAATGAAATCCGCAGCTGGCAGTGTCGCTGCATGCACTCAGCTCAGTAACCAGGCAACGAAACTACATACTTTCAGTTTACAAACGGAGAAAAATGCAATGGCCACCGTCTGTCAAAAGCAACAACAACAACGAAAATTTGCCAGGAGTAAAAACAGTGACTGTGCCTAGCATCCATTTTGACCAGAAGTCAGTATGCATGAGAATGGTCAGTTGTGAGAGTAGTAACCTGATGTGATACATTTGAGCCGAGTGCTCACTAGTCAGAACCTCAGAAACTGATTAGTAACAGGACAGACGGCGCAGCCTGGAACAGATATTAAACTTATTTTTTATATCATTTTTGTAAAAGAAGTCCAGCTCTGTTTGGATGTGAACCCACGACTTAAGGATCTGCTAGCGGCTACACCACAGTGGCTCCCCAAACTGACACAAAATTGTAATATTAACAAACTTTTAGAGAAGAAATGTCTTGTCTGTGTTACATAGATGTCTGTAAGTTTACAATAAACATTGGGTCTTTTCCAGGGGACACAATACCTAATCTCATATGGTAACCAGTACTAAATATATATTTTTAGCAGGATATTTGTAGCATACTTTCGGAGAATATATACACGTTCTTTCATCTTCTCTTTATTTCCTGCTTCTTTTTTGCTTGTTTATTTGGTTGCTTATAGTATTAAAGCAAAACTAACCACCTGTGAAATCAGATGCTTGAGAAAGTCTGAACAAAACCAGGGGGAAAAAGTCATGTGAGAAAAAAAAATTAGAAAAAAGCTGTTGGAACAATACCCATTGTTAAATTCATTGAGAAGCAAAGACTGAAATAGTTCAACTATGAGAAAAAATCTAAAAAAATGAGTGAGAGATTACAACATGGAAATGTAAACACCAAGAGAAGAGGCAGAGGGAGACCTAGAAGCCGATGGATTGAAGGAATCTTTGACAGCTTGAGACTTCACAAGACACCAGGCAACTGAGTGAACTATAGCTCGGCTTCCTATCTTCACTTACACATAGACCCATAGTGGCACACCACTGATGATTGGACTAAGAAAAATGTTCATAGATATGTATGTCATTTATTGACGATACATGGATGTAAAAGCAAACAGGGCTGGAGTATTGGCTGTAAGAAAGAGAGACTTTCAGCCGTGCCGTGAAGAGAGAGACATTCTGTGAATGGCCTGCTGAATGATGATGATGATGTGTTTGTCATTGCATCTCTGATTGTTTCAGACTCAGCATGCCATCAACTCTCGATGACTTCGAAGTTATTTCAACCATAGGAACTGGCTCTTATGGCACATGTAAGAAGATCCGCAGAAAAAAGGATGGAAAAGTAGGTCACATTATATGCTTCTGCTGTTCTGGCACGTAAAGAGTAAATGAAACAGGGTCACAAATTAACAGATTATTGAAAAGGGATTATTTCATTCATACACTTGTTCTTCTTGAAGTCCATACAATGTGGTGTTGGTAGCCATGTCTATCCACAACCTTTTGTCTCGTGTACTTTCATGCAGTTCTTACAGATTTCTTCCAAGCCATGATATCACTATCCAGAATCTTCTCTTTCTTTCTCCCTCTGTCTTTTTCCCCTTCAACTTTCCCACCATCACGACCATAGAATTTAGATCGTCTTTATCTTCTTCTTTATGTTCACTAGCTGTAAACTCCGATGGAGAGTTTGGGTTTTTTGTCCACTTCATGACTTTAGTCTTGTTCCAGACTTAAATTTGTGTGCATATCCATTTTACAGTGCAGACTGTTGGTTCCTTGTCTCTCAAGCAGGCTTTGAAGGAAACACCACATATTAGTCAGTTCCTGTGTCATGTTTGTTGGAGGGCAGTGAGTCTAGCCTTTGTTTCCCCAAAATGGGGTCCCGGATCTCTGTGGTGTATTGTTTGTGTCTGCATTATTTAAACTTACATCGGGAGGAAAATGTTTTGAATCTTTCTTCTGCAGGAGATTGAATCTGGACTGTAATCTTAGCAAGAGAATGCATTAATCGCAGTGTAATAATAGCTACTTGTTCTCAGCTGTCTTCTGCACAGCAGTGAAGTGATACCCATTGGTATACTTCCAAAGTGGTGTCACATCACAGGGGGACACTTAGCCTTAACTTGACCTGATTCCACAACATCAGACACCTTCGGCCTACAAGCCCACTTCTGGAGGTCGCCTTGGTTACGTGCCCACCTATACATAATAATTGACTAGAGAGACTGCTCCCGGCACACCAAGTCTTCCCGACACGGGTCATAAGTCAGAACCCGTCGAGGAACAATCACTTCCCCGCAGGGGGATAATTGCCCGCTCAGCTAGCCAGGAACAATCACATCATCGCAGCAGTACAATTTCCTCACAACAGTGGCAGATAAAGTGTTGGGATCTCTCTGTTTTATCTCCACTAAATACCCTCAACTGGAGCATTCCAAATTAATCACTAAATTCTAATAAAAAATCTTATATAAGTTTTTACCAGAATAAAATAATACACAAGATTACTACTAAAAAGTCACAATCTGTACATGTGTCTGCACTGTCTCAGTGACTGAGAGGCACTGACTGGACACTCTCTAACATTCAGCTCAGTGGCAACTCACACTTGGGTCTTGCAATACCCATGAAGCCGCTGTCTCCTGCTAATCTCGAGAAACACTTGTCTCTCAATGTAAAGCTGTGTGGACCTTTTGCACTCACCTTAGCTATCATCATCATCTAGGGCGTAGGCAATCACGCAAAGTGTGTTCAGCACAAAACACATGGGTCCTCAACCATCTTGCACTATCTCCCAATGGAGCATGGGTCCTCAACCATCTTACTCTTTCTCCCAGTGGAGCATGGGTACTCAACCATCTTACACTATCTCCCAATGGAGCATGTGTACTCAACCATCTTACACTATCTCCCAGTGGAGCATGGGTACTCAACCATCTTACACTATCTCCCAATGGAGCATGGGTACTCAACCATCTTACACTATCTCCCAGTGGAGCATGGGTACTCAACCATCTTACATTATCTCCCAATGGAGCATGGGTACTCAACCATCTTACATTATCTCCCTATGGAGCATGGGTACTCAACCATCTTACACTATCTCCCAGTGGAGCATGGGTACTCAACCATCTTACACTATCTCCCAGTGGAGCATGGGTACTCAACCATCTTACACTATCTCCCAGTGGAGCATGGGTACTCAACCATCTTACACTATCTCCCAGTGGAGCATGGGTACTCAACCATCTTACACTATCTCCCAGTGGAGCATGGGTACTCAACCATCTTACACAATCTCCCAGTGGAGCATGTGTACTCAACCATCTTACACTATCTCCCAATGGAGCATGGGTACTCAACCATCTTACACTATCTCCCAGTGGAGCATGTGTACTCAACCATCTTACACTATCTCCCAGTGGAGCATGTATACTCAACCATCTTACACTATCTCCCAATGGAGCATGTGTACTCAACCATCTTACACTATCTCCCAGTGGAGTATGGGTACTCAACCATCTTACACTATCTTCCAGTGGAGCATGGGTACTCAACCATCTTACACTATCTCCCAGTGGAGCATGGGTACTCAACCATCTTACACTATCTCCCAATGGAGCATGGGTACTCAACCATCTTACACTATCTCCCAGTGGAGCATGTGTACTCAACCATCTTACACTATCTCCCAGTGGAGCATGTATACTCAACCATCTTACACTATCTCCCAATGGAGCATGGGTACTCAACCATCTTACACTATCTCCCAGTGGAGTATGGGTACTCAACCATCTTACACTATCTCCCAGTGGAGCATGGGTACTCAACCATCTTACACTATCTCCCAGTGGAGCATGGGTACTCAACCATCTTACACTATCTCCCAATGGAGCATGGGTCCTCAATCAGCTTAAACTATTTCCCTAGTGGAGCATTGACCCTCAACTGAGTTACTCTCTCCTATGAGAGAAAAACAGCAAAAGTGATTCTTTGTTAGGGTCCTGTGCTCCATTGGGGAATTAAAAGCAGAAGAATCTTATGAACAACTCAGGGTTGGTGCAGGTTAGTTGAGGGCCTATGCTCCATTTGGGGCAGAATAAGCTAACTACTGATACTGACCGGATCACATCAGGTGTGCCAGTTGTGTATCTTATGCCATGCCATTAACATTTGTGGTGGCATGTGACATATGTCTGGAAAGAGAAGACCAGTCACACAGATGAATGAAAGCCGGTGAAATATGCAGCAATGAAGCTCACAGACTTCAAATGCTGAAGAAGAAAAGTGTCAATTTCTGCTAACCGCTGACAATATTTCTGTCTATCCCATTGTAAAGATCATGGTATGGAAGGAGATGGAGTACGGAACAATGACTGAGTCTGAAAAGCAGATGCTGGTCTCCGAGGTGAACCTGCTAAGAGAGCTGCGACATCAGCATATTGTGAGGTACCATGATCGCATCATTGACCGGTCAAGAGCTATTATTTATATCATCATGGAGTATTGTCAAGGTGGGGACCTTGACACGATTATCGTACAGAACAGAAAGGAAGGGTAAGTTCTGTGTTGCTTAGGAACTTCTCAGCTCAAGTCTTTCGCCCAGGGATTCCGAAAACATACACTTCTTGTTAGTCCCATTCCCCGTAAATGTAACTTTTGGAGCTAGCCTGTGGTTTTTTTTTTTTTTTTTTTAAATGAGATGTATACTTCAGGCTATTGGATAATTTGGATCAATTGATAAATACATTTTAAATAAATTTATTAGTGGCTGGTGTTTGAAAAAAAAAATAGTTTTTTTATAAATAGGTTTCCTCCCATTTCTGATAGGGTCATGGTATATTTTTCTTTAAGGGCAAAGGGAGTACACTTCTTTACTCTGAAACAATGTGTGATTGGCTTTTTTTTTAAAATGGGGTTTTCTCCATTGATGTAGTAATGAAATCAGGCCCAGCTCTGCCCATGTCACTTATGATCAACAGAGTCCGGCCAGGACGCTGTGATTGGACGTTCAATCTCTGCCTTAACCTTTGAGATGTGTAAGTGGCAGGGGTGTCAGCTTGTTCAACACTCCTACCGGCGACCACATGTCTCTATAATACAGGATGTAAGTGCCTTTAATGACCTCATAACATGTACAACTGGCTGAACCTAGGTGCAACGAGAGAGTGCAATCTACAGCAGTACACTGGGACAGCCCTCTAACTTTGAGCAACGTTGACCAGTCTGTCCAAGCATCAGTGAAAGGTGACCTTGAGTGTAGATAGGCAGAGCTGGGCCTGAGTTCGTTACTAGTTCCTTCTCCATTTCTAAAAGGTTCATGACCAATTTTTTTTTTAAGTATTTCCAGGACGAAGAAGTTAATTTCTTTTACTCTAAAACAATGCATGATGTGTATTTTGCTTTTAAAAAAAATTGTATTGCTCTTCTAAGGATCCCAACCATAAAGTGTTTTCTTACTGTTTTAAAAATTCGGTTTGAGTATGCTGAAAACATTCCGCTGTTTTATATGCTGAAAACATTCCGCTGTTTTATATGCTGAAAACATTCCGCTGTTTTATATGCTGAAAACATTCCGCTGTTTTATATGCTGAAAACATTCCGCTGTTTTATATGCTGAAAACATTCCGCTGTTTTATATGCTGAAAACATTCCGCTGTTTTATATGCTGAAAACATTCCGCTGTTTTTATATGCTGAAAACATTCCGCTGTTTTATATGCTGAAAACATTCCGCTGTTTTATATGCTGAAAACATTCCGCTGTTTTATATGCTGAAAACATTCCGCTGTTTTATATGCTGAAAACATTCCGCTGTTTTATATGCTGAAAACATTCCGCTGTTTTATATGCTGAAAACATTCCGCTGTTTTATATGCTGAAAACATTCCGCTGTTTTATATGCTGAAAACATTCCGCTGTTTTATATGCTGAAAACATTCCGCTGTTTTATATGCTGAAAACATTCCGCTGTTTTATATGCTGAAAACATTCCGCTGTTTTATATGCTGAAAACATTCCGCTGTTTTAAGATTCTTCCGGTGAGGGTTCCAGGGCCTCTTTTTGGGGACAGAAGAAAAACTAACTAACCCCTATCATCATCATCATCAAGTGCATTTTCGACTGGCGTGGACAATCATGCCTCTTAACAATCTGTGGACTTAAAAAGCATTTATCAGTTTGTGTGCTACACACCTCCATGCCTTGACAAAAGGGTGTCAAGAATCATGTTATGTTGACTTCCTCTGTCTCTTTTTCCACAGATATTTCCAGTGGTCACAACCTGTTCGTTTCCTTCATCTCATAACAACACCAACCAGTGATGACTGGCTCTTTATAATTTTTGTCCCCTTATAAAATAGGACTCATTTTTGCTGAAATGGAGTGTATTAGACCAAAAGATGCAGATATTGCAGCCTAGCTGTAAACCACAACATATCATGCCAGCCACACTATTAAGGCAAACACAGGCGAAAAAGAAAGTTTAAATAAGCATGCTAGGTGTACCACCAAGTCATTTAAATTTTTATTTAAAAAATAAAATAAAATGCACATAGGCTAGAAAAACTGAAAACTGATGTGTTGTTTCATGTCCTCCAAGTTACAGGGTATGAATTAACAGATTGAAAAACTGATCTGTTTCAGGACTCATGTCCCCCAAAGTTACAGGACATGAATTAAAATATTATGAGTCTGTTAAAGGACTGATGTCCCCTAAAGTTAAAAGGACGTGAATTAACATATTATGATCTGTTTCAGGACGCATGTTCCCGAGGACTTTGCCTGGAAGATCCTTATCCAGACGACCTTGGCCTTGAAGGAGTGTCATCAACGGAAGAACGGCAAGGCTGTCCTTCACCGTGACCTCAAACCAGCCAATGTATTTTTGGACGCCGAGTCCAACGTCAAGCTCGGAGATTTCGGCCTGGCCAGAGTTCTCCATCACGAGAGTAGTTTTGCAAAGACTTATGTTGGGACCCCGTATTATATGTCGCCGGTAAGTTAATGTACAGCAGCAATATTCTTGTGGGTGCCCGTTTGAAATGAAATGATGGCTGCATGTAGCTGTTGATATTTTTGGGACAGATGTGTAAAGATACAAGCAAATATGGGTACCATTTTTCTTCCTAGCGTTAACCGGCTGTAAACTCCAGCAGAAAGGTTTGGTTGTTCGTCCACTCCTGGACTTTGGTCTTAATCCAGAACTTAAATTGTGCCTTCACATCTGTTTTTCAGATCTGGCTTATTTGTATGCAGACTGTTGGTTACTTGTCTCTCAGGCAGATGCACTCCAACTCTGAAGGAGACGCCCTAATTAGTCCCCTGATACGACATGCTTGTGGGGAGGGGGGGGGGGGGGGGGGTTCTATTCTTTGTACTTCAAAATGGGACCATAATAGAAATTTCCATCATCTTTTCTTTTTCATGTTCACAGGCTGTAAATTCCGACAGAAAGTTTTGGTTGTTCGTCCACCTCGGGACTTTAGTCTTGTTCCAGAACCTGGGTGTTCTATTTTATAGAACAGGCTTATTTGTATGCATACTGTTGGTTTCTTGTCTCTCTGGCAGATGCAGTCTGACTTTGAAGGGTGACCTAATTAATTGGCTTTTACGAAAGCTTATTGCGGAGGCAGTGAGTCTGTTCTTATCTTCCCTACGGTGGGGCCCCAGAACCCACACAGGGACCATCATCATCTGTAAAAGGGGGTTGGTTTCAATCTAGGAAGTGCTTCTTTACCCAAAATATGCAGCACTGGAGTGGTTTTACCCGTGCCTTCAAAACAGATGTTAGCTCGTTACAAATATTCATTCACTGTGGCAGGACTTACGGAACACCCTCTAGTAATGGTTTGACTTTGTTCTCCAGGAGCTTGTGAACAACCAGTCCTACAACGAGAAGTCTGATATTTGGTCGTTAGGCTGCATGCTCTATGAGCTGTGTGCCCTAGTTCCCCCCTTTACAGCGTCCAACCAGAGTGAGCTCAACAGAAAGATCCGGACTGGTGATTTTCCCAGAATACCCAGTCAGTATTCTCTGGAGCTGGATTTGATTATCCGGAAGATGATCCAAGTAGAGGTCAGCTTCTTTATTTCTTTTTTGTTTTGTTTACTCTGTACCTTAAATTACAAATATTGTTATGTTTAGAATTTTAGTAAGTTGCATTATCTCAATTTACACCATTACACATTGCTCATTCCCATGCCTGCTCAGTCCTCTGCTGCAGTAGCCACTCCAAGGTACTCCTGATTGTTCCCATGAGCAGCTGGTTTTAGTAGTAAGTTAGTTGTTCAACCAGCACTAGTGATGAAGGCCACTTACCCAGAACAGTAAAAATGATCAATGATTGTGAGATCAAAGATGACCAGCGAGTCCAAATTGAGCCTGGAAAGCTCTTTAGGTGTGTGGACTGCAAACAGAAGCAACAGTAGAGGCGGGATTTGCGAGACGGTTCTATCTAATCTGCCTCCATTTCTCTGCACGTGCTGCCTGGCAGGCTGATGTACCATGCTTGATGACTGTACACTGTACACTCTTTATTATATCCGTAACAAGCATTATTGATAGCAGGCATTGGTACTCTGAAAAATGAGTGCTTAGAAGGGCCGAATGTTAGACGGGCCTGCGTGCCCAAGTGGTAACCCTTTGAAAATAAAGTTTGTTTGTTCATTCGTTCCTTCGTACACCATTTAGATGTCTCTTGTGTTACAGCCTCCTATGTTTCTTTCTTCACCCTGTCACCCCCAAGATGCCGCAGAACCAGAACTTCTGGTTTGTATCATGACCCCATAAATGTTACTTTTCCGATTTGGCTATAGTGGCATGTTCATGAGACTGCCTAGCCAGTAGCTCTGTATTGCAGAACGTCACTCTCATCAGGGTATGTCTGAAAGAAACTCTCTCGCCAGTTTTCTCACCTCATGTACTTTCATACTCAAGGAGTCACTTATATCCTGTAGCCATCTTCTTGTTGGTCGGCCCCTGCCCCTCCTTCCTGGTACCATGCCTTCTGCTATAATTTTTTCAAATCCGTCCTGGTGCTTGATATGACCAGTATGTAGGGAGTTAAAGTTCATACCGAAAGAGCTAATAACAATAAACAGTTTAAATCCTGCAGGTGATCAGGAGGCCAAACATAGATGCCATCTTGGCCGATCCGTTAATTCAGCGCAAGCAAGACAGCCTCGCCCGCAGAAATGGCAACAGAAACAAAAAACTGGAGTTTGACCGAGTCACTGGGTCAGGTGACCAAGGGGACGTCAGATATGAAGACTTTCTTGCCAAGATGAGGCAGCTGGAACTTAAAGAGAAAGAACTTGAAAGTGAGTGTTTTGTTTACAGAAGAAAAAAACAGTAAACAATATCATACCATTTCAGGCAAATGGTTGGTGGGTTGGTTCTTTTTAGAAAGAAAAAAGTTAGGTTCATGTTGAACCCTGCTAAAGATGGCTTTGGTTATCATTATGATCTGGTTTTATGTGTACCAAGTTTAATGGCTTAATAGGTTTATTGTGCCAGCGGTTGTCAGTTTAAGGTCCCTAACTGTATGTAATGTGTGAATCCTTTCTTTTGCTCCTGTGATCCTGGTGGGGGATCCATTATGTGTGTTCATCTTCATGGTTGTACTTTAAGTGACTTGTGTATGCCTGGAGTTTCTCATCCTGTGTGGTAATAGTCATCCAGTTACTGTGTCCTGTTGTGTATCTTTCAGATATCTTTCTTCTGTTGGTTGTCCATCATCTGCTTTTGTGGGGCCCTGATATGGGTCAGTCCTGTATACTGATATGGTGTCCTGTTTACTGATATGGTGTCCTGTTTACTGATATGGTGTCCTGTTTACTGATATGGTGTCCTGTTTACTAATATGGTGTCCTGTTTACTGATATGGTGTCCTGTTTACTAATATGGTGTCCTATTTACTGATATGGGTCAGTCCTGTTTACTGATATGGGTCTGTCCTGTTTACTGATATGGGTCTGTGCTGTTTACTGATATGTGTCTGTCATGTTTACTGATATGTGTCAGTCCTGTTTACTGATATGGGTCAGTCCTGTTTACTGATATGGGTCAGTCCTGTTTACTGATATGTGTCTGTCCTGTTTACTGATATGTGTCTGTCCTGTTTACTGATATGTGTCTGTCCTGTTTACTGATGTGTGTCTGTCCTGTTTACTGATGTGGGTCAGTCCTGTTTACTGATGTGGGTCAGTCCTGTTTACTGATGTGGGTCAGTCCCTATTTGCCGATATAAGCCTGTCCTATTGACTGATATGGGTCAGTCCTATTTGCTAAAATAGGTCTGTCAGTCCTGTGTAAGATATGGGTCAGTCCGATTTACTGATATGGGTCAGTCCGATTTACTTATATGGGTCAGTCCGATTTACTGATATGGGTCAGTCCTATTTACTGATATGGGTCAATCTTGTGTTCTGATATGGGTCAGCCCTGTGTGTTGTGGGTCAGTTCCTGTTTACGCCTAAGGGTCAGTCCTATTTGCTGGTATGGATCTATCCTATTTGCTGATAAAGGGTCAGTCCTATTTGCTGATATGGATCAGTCATATTTGCTGATATGGGTAAGTTCTCTATGCTGGTATGGATCAGTCCTTTTTCGACTGCTATTTCTCCTATAAACATCCCAGTCAAGAAATAAGCTGTCACCTGGTCCACTGTGCAGGACATTTGGTGCTAGATTCCTATTTTTTGTATAGACCCATGCCAAGTGCCTCAGCTTTCCAGGATACTTCCCTGTATCAATTGTAGGTTGGAAATCAGTGTCAGTTAGAAAAACTGCTTTGATGTGGATTTGTTTTTTTCTTGATCGATTTGTTTAGACCCGAACATCAAGGAACATTGGCTAATAAATAGCATTTTGTTTTTGAAACTGAAATATTTTGGTCATATCAGGTGGCAAAGCGGTTTGAAAAATAATAATAGCAGAAGGCATGGTACCAGGAAAGAGGAGCAGGGGCCGATTACTGTGAAGTTGAGCACAGGATGTAAGTGACACCTTGGGTAGGAAATTAAACAAGTTGGGAGACCCGAATTTCTTTCAGGCAAACTGTGATGAGAGCAACGTTCTGCAAAGGACCTGTTACCTAATGATAATGTGGGTTTGGACTATAACACCTTACTGATATTACATGCTGTGATAGCTCCATCAGTTCTGTAGCCTTTTTTTCCCCATAGATCGTACACCAGTATTGAACTTTATAGGTAGACAGCAGATCAAATGGTTTGGCCATCTAACAAGATTGGCATTAGACAGGGCACCACAAAGAGCAATGTTATACAGATACAGTAATGACAGAGCCAGAGGTCGACCACACAGAAGATGGACCACAGAAATATCAGAGACACTAATAGGTACTTTATATGAAGTGCACAGAAAGGCCCCTTCCAGAGATATGTTTCTGCCCTGGCTCTGTGAGGCATTCCAGGATTCGAGACAAGAAGAAGCAAAAGAACATCATGGTAAGGTTTTCAGGGCTTTGTGTACAAAACCAGAATCCCAGTAAAGTGAAGTACTCGTTTCCATGTGTAGAACTGTTGAACTGAGTTAAGAACTGACATCACAGGGCCCGAGACATCCCTTGAGCACTCCTTCTTCATCTTTAGCAGCCAGCAGGGAAGTGTTCCAGCTCCAGTGGTGTTAGCGGTCCCCCCCCCCCCCACAACAAGCTTGTTCTAATTAAGCTCATACTGTCATACAGATATACACCAACAACAAAAAAGTGGACTAAAAAGAAACGAAAAGCTTCCTACTGGTGTTTACTGCCGGTGATCGCTAAGAGGAAAAAGAAGAAGTTTACTGTTGTATGTATGATTGTAGCCTGATCTTTGTTGTTGCAGGTCGTGAGAAAACTCTGGCATTACGAGAGAAACTATTTGAGGAAAGGGTCAAAAGGTGAGTGATCTTAAAGGTTAAAGTCAGGAGGATCAAGTTCACAGCACCGGTTTTTATCCCGTATAGCTCTGTCTCTCTCCGCAAAACGGCTTGCCGCCTACCGAGAGCATCCCACAATGCACAAACTCTGTAGCTCCAGTGACCGTCCCCAGGGATCTCAGTAAAAATTGCACTTATAAACTGAACGCCGCCGCTGTGAATCGAACAGCTTTGCCAACTCCGACATGGAGACCCCTCTGATGCTGCAACATTGCATACAGGAAGATTACTGTAACCAAATATTTGTTTTCCTGAACAGTTTGGTCACTTTATGTTAAAGAACAAAGGATGTTATCAAAAGGCATTGAGAATTGTCAAGCAAATACCATGCTTCTGACAGTTATGATCTGCTCATATGGAACTTCTCTATGCAGATGACACAGTCCTTCTTTCAAACAGTGTAAGTGAAATAAAACATTTCATCTTGTCTGTTTAAAAACACAGTGAAGATTAAAACCTGTTCTTGAATTTACAGAAAACAAAAATAATGTCCACAGACAAAACTGGCTGTCACTCAAAAAAATAACAGTAAATGATTTAGAAATTGAAAATATCAGAAACTTTGAATACCTTTGCTCCATAGTAAACAGGAATGGAGACTGTTCAACAGAAGTCAACAGGAGGATGGCCATAGAAATGCAAAGATTAAACAGCATTTAAAGTCTGTGGTTAAGCACCAACAAGGACATGAAAGTGAAAATTTGGAAGGCAAGCTTCCTCCCTGTATCAATATATGGTGAGTCATGGACTGTCTCCCAGTCCTCAAGGAAGAAAATCTGAGCTTTTGTACTGGAATGCTGTAGGAGGGTTCTCAGAAAACCATAGACAAAGAAGAAAAGAAATACTGACATTCTAGAAGATCCAAACATCAAGAAAGATTGTTTAGTAAACAGCATCTTTCTCAGAAACTGAAATATTTTGGCCATATCAAGCACCACAGTGGATTAAAAAAAATAATAACAGAAGGCATTAAATGGGGAAAGATGGGCAGGGGTCAACTAGTGTGAAGGTGAGCACATTTCTTGGGGCTGGGTTCTAATTATGGTCGGAGTGAATCTGCCTGACAGGAGAGGAGCCAACAGTCTGCATTAGAATAAGCCAGATCTGTAAAATTGATGTGCATGCGAAACTCAGGTTCATAAATAAGACTAAGACTAAATCAATCAGAAGTGGATGAACAACTAGAGCTTTCTCCCAGAGTTTACAGCCGATGAATGCATGGAAGAAGAGATCAATGTCCTTTAGGTGAACCACTCTTTTCATTCGTTCTCTCTAAACTACTGCAGCATTCAATGGCCCTAAAGTATGTCCCCGATTAGCCCCCAACCATGGTTACCAGAGATCGTGACAGGCATGTGATGGATCAGAATGATTAGTTGAACAAGTTTTCAGTAACAACTTCAGCTGTGCTAGGCAGAAGATGCCCCTATAGACACAATGACTAGGACAAACCGCCCAAGTAAGGGCACTGCTCTCACAGAAAGACATTGCAACCTACTGTGAGAATTTTGCAGAGAAAGGTCATGTCTGTATACTCTTTGGTCATGTCATGAGAAGGAGAAAACTGGAGTACACTGTGACGGTACGAAAGTTGAAGGGGAAGAGAGGCAGAGACCAGGAGAGAATACCCAGGACAGTTTGACATCATGGCATGGAAGATCATCTTTGTCAGCATTAATTGAAAGTACATGATACAGAAGACAGACGTGGTTACTAATACCACACAACATCAACTGTAAGACAAGGAAGTATGCCACATTACGTAGGACATTTTTTTTTACATCACATACATTCCAACAAAATTGTGCCATCTGACATATATTTGTGCAGAAATTTGCCACCTCACATATTCCAACAGAAATGGTCTCCTCACATATATTGAAACAGACATTTGCCACCTCACATATATTCTCACATAAATTTGTAACCTAACATATATTCCAACATATATTATACTCGAAATATGCCACCTCACATGTATTCCCACAGAAATTTGTCACCTAACATATATTCCAACATACATTATACTTACAATGTGCCACCTCACATATGTTTACATAGAAGTTTGTAATCTAACATATATTTCAACATATAATTGAAATGTGCCACTTCATATATTCCCATGGAAATTTGTAGTCTCCACAGAAATTTGCAGTTTGTAAGTGTGTTCCCACTGAAATTTGCTAACTCCACATACATTGACACAGGATTGTAATACCTCACGCATACTCACAAAAATGTACCACCTCACACATTCCCACAGAAATGTACTGCCTCACATATTCCACCATAAATACCACCTCACACATTCCCAAAGAAATGTGCCACCTTACACATTCCCAAAAGAAATGTATCACCTCACATATTTGTACAGAAATGTACTTCCTGACATATTCTTACAGACATGTACCGCTGTAAACATTCCCACATAAATCTACCACATCACACATTCCCACAGAAATGTACCACCTTTCACATTCCCACAGAAATGTACCACCGTTCAGATTCCCACAGAAATGTACCACTGTTCACATTCCCACAGAAATATACCACCTCACAAATTCCCACAGACATGTGCCACCTCACATATTCTCAGTGGCATGTACCAGCTCACATATTCTCAATGACATGTACCACCTCACATATTATCAATGACATGTACCACCTCACATATTCTCAATGACATGTACCACCTCACATATACTCAATGACATGTACCACCTCACATATTCTCAGTGACATGTACCACCTCACATATTCCCACAGACATGTGCCACCTCTCCCATTTCTACTGAAATATTCCCTCTTACCTATTCCCTCTGTGGTGTGTCCTCTGACATATTTCCAACAAAAATGTACCATCTCCTGTATATTCCAAAGCAACCATACCCCCCTTTCAGACTTATAATAGAAATGTGCCACCCCACAAACACTAAAGACATACCCCCTTTCCAACTTATAAAATGTAAGCAATTACCCCCTTTCAGACTTATATATTGCCACCCCACAAACACTAAAAACCATACCCCCCTTTCAGACTTATAATAGAAATGTGCCACCCCACAAACACACAAAGCAACCATACCCCCTTTCAGACACTATAATAGAAATGTGCCACCCCACAAACACACATAGCAACCATACCCCCTTTCAGACACTATAATAGAAATGTGCTACCCCACAAACACACATAGCAACCATACCCCCCCACAACCCCACAAACACACATAGCAACCATACCCCCTTTCAGACATGATACTAGAAATGTGCTACCCCACAAACACACATAGCAACCATACCCCCTTTCAGACATGATACTAGAAATGTGCTACCCCACAAACACACATAGCAACCATACCCCCTTTCAGACATGATACTAGAAATGTGCCACCCCACAAACACACATAGCAACCATACCCCCCTTTCAGACATGATACTAGAAATGTGCTACCCCACAAACACACATAGCACCAACCCCCCTTTCACACTGACTAGAAATAGCAAACACACATACCCAGACATAGCAACCATACCCCTTTCAGACGTTTCAGACATGATACTAGAAATACCCCCTTTCAGACACTATAATAGAAATGTGCCCACCCAAATGTGCAACCATACCCCCTTTCAGACACTATAATAGAAATGTGCCACCCCACAAACACACAAAGCAACCATACCCCCGTTTCAGACATGATACTAGAAATGTGCTACCCCACAAACACACATAGCAACCATACCCCCTTTCAGACACTATACTAGAAATGTGCCACCCCACAAACACACCTTGACACTTTCCACCATGCTCACCTTCTTCAGGGCCAAGGAAGCGGACAGATACCAGCACCCAGATAGCACCTCCATCAACCAGGCATCACCGGCCACCTCCTACACCCCTTGTGCAGGTAGGCGGAGAATGAATCACTGTGTTCACCCTACAGTCTGTGTGACTCCTTTCCCACGCTCCAATGACCGAGCGTGCCCGGTAGGCAACGTCTGCCCTGTGCCCACCCCTCGCAGTTACATTTCTAAAATCAAAGTACAGGCTCTGTACCACAGTTAACATTTTTCAGTTCAGAAGATTCTGTTCAGGTCATTATTGCCTAACTGTATAAATCAGAAACTTTATTCATTGTTATTTATTATAACTCAGTTACATTACCAAATTATGACACCGTTTATGAATTTTACATTTGTCTCTGTATGGTGTTAAACAAAAGAAAATAGACGAACAGTGTTTAAGATAATTTGTTTTACTTCTTTCTGAAGTCTAACTCTGCATATATTTTTCATATTTATTGAAGTTTAAAAGCATTGAGCACTGGACATCCAATTTAAAATGTTTCCCTTTAATTTTTTTGCTGAGATTTTTTTCAGTGCAGCTTTCAGTATTCTTTAGAGCAGCTTTGTGCAATTGTCAGTACTTTTCCAGGATTAGCTTTCAGTACACTGTCTGTGAATCATTACTTTTCAGCATAATTAATGTTCAGTACTCTTTCGGTGCAATGTTTAGGTTCCCCTCAGTAATGTTTTCAATATTTGTTTTTCAGTTAATTTTCAGTACATTCCGCACAACTTTCAGTACATTTGTGAATGTTTGTTAATGGCTTTTGATTGACAGTTTATTTATTATTTCTACAATATTGACATCTGCCATATTATCCGCTGGGTCTCACCCGTACCATTGTGCAATATTTCTCATATTTGTTATTTATACATTCTTTTTCATTATTGGCATCTTTCCGCTTTTCCAGACAAGTATTTTATGGTGCTGGGAGGAGGCATGGAACTTACAGCCCATGGTGGTAGCGGGTGTGACTAGCAAGACCCGCGCGTAGTAACAAAAGTAATTGGTCCTTTCCATAGCACAAAGCCTGGGCAGTATTGTAGAGACCTTATGTTGTTCATCTCTCTCTCTCTCTCTCTCTCTCTCTCTCTCTCTCTCTCTCTCTCTCTCTCTCTCTCTCTCTCTCTCTCTCTCTGCCTGCCTGTCTGTCTCTGTCTCTCTCTGTCTCTCTCTCTCTCCCTCTCTCTCTGTCTCTCTCTCTCTGCCTTGTGTACTATAAAGGAAAGGTAACACCAGTAAGTTTGGAACAAAGTAGGCTGCAGAAGCTGCCGGGACAGAAGAGCAGTGCTCTTTCTGTCCGCCTATGTTCTGTTTATATGTACAGTAATTACTTCTGAAATCTGTTTCTTCTTTTAGCATCAATGACAAACTTATTCAGCTTTATAACCATTCTGAATTGCATAAAACATTTAAACGCTTTTTTTTTAAAGGCAGTTTGTTATTAAAAGTTTTTTCTCTGTGTTTTGACTAGAAAAGTGGTTTCCACCCTGCTATTTTGTGTTGATTAGAAAAGTGGTTTCCACCCTACTATTTTGTTCTGATTAGAAAAGTGGTTTCTCCTTTGCCACTTTGTTTTAATTAGGGAAGCTGTGTCCACTCTGCTCTTTGTTTTCCAATTGTGTGTGTGTGGGGGGGGGGGGGGGGGGTGAATAGACCTACTGCCTTCTAAGAAGCATGTCATAAGAGTCGACATTAGGTATCTTTCCTTCGAAGTTGGAGTGCATTTGGCTGAGAGGTGTGGAACAGTATACAAATAAGTCAGATCTGGTTCAAGAAAATGCATTTAAATCAGAGGTTCTGGAACAAAACTAAAGCCCAGAATACTAGAAGGTTCTAGACAGTGAACAGTAGTTGGTTCTTTCACTTCTGAAGCACTGTTTTGATTAGAAAAGTAGTTTCCAGTTTGCTACCTTAGTGTCTGACAAAAAATCTCTGAGATTATTCATGCCTGTTCTTCTTTTTGTTTAATTGTTCTTTCTTGTCAGATATAGTATTACTGAATATTTTCTTTTCAGATATAATATTATTGTATATTTTCTAAGTGGTTATTTAAAATCTATCTTTGCTGCAATGTTTACAACCTTAGAGGGCGGTGTTGATGGTGGTCGGGGTCGGGTAATCCTTAGTCCAAGGATTTTGGGGTCTAATGTGAAACTGTAGCATTCTAACTACATGGCCCGCCACTGTTTATTGTGGTTATTTCTTAGTAATAAATACAAACCTAGTCAAGTTATAGGACAAATGGTAACCAATAGTGAAATGCAAGCACTGTTTGACACAATATTCTGACCAGTGCTGCGCTGTCAGTGTCAGGTATGGAAACTGTTCACAAGACAAGAAAAATAGTCATGACAGAAAGGAAATGTTTACATATCATGCTAGGTGTAATAAAGAAAGATCAACTTAGGAATGATGAAATCAGGAGGTAAGCTGGCAAAGAGTCAGAACTGAACTCTATCAGTAGACAAAAGATTGAATGGTTTGGTCATATAACAAGACTGGCTACAGAGAGGGCACCATAGAGAGTAATTTTATACAGAGACAATGGTAACAGACCCAGAGGATGACCTTGCGAAACATGGACAGATGAAGCAAAGGGAAGGGCCTGTTCCAGAGACCTCCTGCTGCCCTGATGATATGAGGCAGTCCAGGAATTTAAAAGGAAGGAGAAGAAGAAAACAAAGTCCTCTTGTCCCTGCCTTGAAATGTGTTTGTGGTTGAATGTTGAATTAAGAATCAACATCACAGCACTCGGGACACTCCCATAAGTGCTCCGTCGCCATCTACAGCAGCAAGCAAAGAGTTCCTATTCCCATGGCACCAGAAGCCGCCTGATTGTATATCCGTCTCCTCCTTCCCCTAAGTGTTGAGCATCGGCCACATCGGCTGGCAACTTCTCGCAGAGCCATTCTCCTTAGACTGTAATGATCTTGTGATCATTGTGTTTGTGATGCTAATCCCTCACTGTTAGAGACCAACCAGCACTCAATGACTGATGTGGTCAGTAAAAGATTGGTCACCGGAATATTGCTAGAACATTTCTGAAAATCTGTTTTATGCTGGGTTTCTGTTGAGCATAGCCAAAAGGGGAAAAAAATATATATATATATATATATATATATATATATAGAATTCAGGACATAATCTCCTTGTTTGTGAAGTTACTGAATGAACGAACAAACACACTTTATGTTTAAAGGATTAAGAATTGGGCATCCCGGCCCGTCTAACATTCTGCCCTTCGTGGTCTTCCTCCATTCTTACATCATTTCATTTACACATCAAGTAATAAACATTATCAAAAGCATCAAAATATTCAGTACAAGCACTGGAATGTCTACATTTAAAATTACAATAAACCATAGTGGTTGTTATAAATCTAGGGAAAATGGGTGCTATTTCAAAAATATTTGTCTTTTTGTCCTCTATGGGGGGCATGTAATCTGTGCTCAAATAATATTCAAACAGTTTTCAATTGTAATACTGGCAAAAACTAGCTCCATTATCTTGTACTTCAGTTCTACAGTGTTTAAACAACTATTTTTTTTTTAAATTGTGAAATTATGCATGATATATTGTAGAGAACAGAGTGGAGCAATAGACTCAACCCTAAGTGGCATATAACTGTGACTTGATGATGATTATATTGTATATCATTTATCGAGATTTATAATGAGAGTGCAAGAGTTTCCACCACTTTAAACTGTATGTTGCGTCAGGATAGATGCATGCTCTCAAAATGTTGACTTTGATTTCCTTGCTGGTACTTAACCATAGACTTTTGCTGTATCATTTAGTCTATAATGATATAGAACTAGTAACTGATTTCCATCACGTCGGGATGGAGAAGGAGTTTCTTTACCTTGGTTGTTTCTAGAGAATGGTAATAGGATGTCATTTATTGTTATGGGCTAGTTAGATTCTTCTCTTTCATCTCCTTCTACTACTCCTTCATCACAGTATAGGATACACTTGACGGATAATCATTGTGCATTTTCTTATGTATCGTACAAGCTGGTCTTCATTTCCTTAAGGCTGTTCTTGAATCTGTTGTTCCATATGTGTGTGTCATCCTCTTGCTCTATATCTGATTACACTGGGAGCGTTAATTCTCTAAAATGATTGTTTTTGAGTGTTTTGATTTGGGTGGGTGAAGATATGAATTTGTTTCTGTTAGCTTGTTAGCAATATTGCCTTTATTGTTATAGGATGGGAAAAGTATTAGCGTTCATTGTTATAGTTTTATAACAATGATCTCTTGAGAGTGACAAAAGTATTATGTTATCTGATGTTGGGTGATATCAGTATTATACCCACCGCTATGTGATAAAGGTATTTCATTTATTACTTTTTGAATGATAAAAGTATTTCATATATTTTTGAATGATAAATGTATTTTATTTATTATGTTTGAATGACACAAATATTATATTTATTATTACTGAATGATAATACAGTTATTCTGTTTGGACAAATTTCATAATGAATTAATAGAAGTTTTGAATTGTATAGTATTCCTTGCATTGATTTCGGGCCCCAGTGTAGAGAACATATAAGTGAAAAACCCCATGCCAGCAAGTATGTCATAGGAGGCAACTAATTAAGGGTGTGTCCTTCAAAGTCTGGATCTGCCTGACATGTAAGCAGCCAGCAGTCAGATCTGTAAAGTGGATGCACATGCTAAACTCAGGTTCTGAATGAAGACCAAAGTCTAGAAGAGGACGAAACACCAGAACTTTTTGACAGTGTTACAGCCAGCGAATGGTAAGAAGAGGAGGAATTGTAGAATATGAAAGTACAGTTTGTTGTTATTATTTTGTGTTTCTGAAAATCTGTGAGTTATAAAACTGGGTTGTTGGCAACACAGGGGGTATAGATGAACTGGGAGTAGGAGCTAACACTAGACATGGTCATGTTGACTAAAGACTATTCTCTGACTTTGGACTGACTATTCTCTGTCTTTGGACTGACTATTTTATTTTTGGATTGACTTATCACTGTCTTTGGACTGACTAATCACTGTCTTTGGACTGACTAATCACTGTCTTTGGACTGACT